CTCTGACATCGCTGCTAACCTTTCCTCCACTGACTGTGATCCTACAGCGCTCATCGAGCTTCTCTCCCACTCTCATTGCTCACACCACCGCCAGAGGACATCTTCGCCTTTACATCGGCTCAACCTCTTCATTAATTCCGCATTCTTCTTTTCTCCCTCAGTCACCCTCGCCTCTCCTGCAATTACCTGTTTTCACTGTCGACCCTACATCTCCCTACGTTTCGAGTGTCCGCTTAACGACCGTCTTTACAGTCAGATTCACAACATCCTACCACTACCGCCCACTTCGGAGCGACGCCGGACCATTTCACTAATCGCCAAAAGTTCTCTGTGCCAACAACAGACCCTCATTGTGTGCTGAGTCAAGCCCCGAACTACAACCAAGACTCATCCGAGCGGCATCATCTCTCACCGTGTTGCACTGGATACGTTCAGTCTGCACTTCCGTGACCTTCGCCGACACTTCACCATACACAAAGGCATGTCGGTTCCAGGTCGGCACTATGCACCCATAGACGGAGCCTGTCATGTTGATACACACACACGCAAAGCCTCGCGTAGTCCGCCGAATGATGATGTGTGCTGCATATATGTTCATGCTGGCGCAGGCTACCATAGCCACCAGAATGAGAGGATTCATCTCGAAGCATGCAATGAGTGAGTGCTCCGATGCGTCCCAAACGATGTCGCAAAGTTAGCTCGTGCTGATATGCGTAGTGCTGCACAGTTAGCCATGTTAATTCTGAAGAACGGCGGCTCAGCCCTCGATGCTGTCGAGGCCGCCGTTAAGACTTTAGAAGACCGAGAAATCACCAATGCAGGATACGGCAGCAACTTAGCCATGGATGGTGTCGTCGAGTGCGATGCTTCCGTGGTCGACCATTTTGGGCGTAGTGGAGCTGTTGGGGCTGTAGCTCGTAAGCGTTCGACGACCAAAGCTGTGGCTTAGTACTGATGATGATCGCCAGAAATCAAGAATCCTATATCCCTAGCACGAATGGTCCACGACCATACCATGAGTCCGCTAACGCTGCGTCGAGTGCCTCCAAACCTTTTGGTATCTCAGGGCGCCACTGACTTCGCTGTCGAGATGGGTATGCCAATCCTGCCCCATGATGCACTCATCTCCCCTGCGGCGAAAGAGCGTTGGATGCGATGGCGCTCCGACTTGAGAGCAGCCGAGCGCAAGTCCAAGAAGAGTGGTGCACGTCCATCATGCTGGAAGATCAGGGATACTACGGCACCAGCCGATGAGCGGGCACAGGAACGCATGCGCGAACAGCACACTCAGAACCTGCTACGGGCATATCCGTCTCTGCTGCAATCACATTCACCTCCGCTATCGGATGATTCAATGTACGGTCAAGGTGAGAACGCGTCTTCTGATCCTTCGGTTCCTCCTTCAGAGCAGTCTTCGAGCTCTTGGGTCAGCGATGAGCCGACCAACGCACCCGACCTGACCGATACAGCACCATTGGTTGCCGAGGCTCGTCCGATCACTGTTTCTGATGCTTCTCGCAGTGCTTTCGTCAACAGCACGCAACAGATACCTACTCTGAAAGAGTATCGTCGCGACGCAGGTTATGAAAGCATCATGGAAGACGCGCAGATGGAGGGCGACGACACAACATACGTACCGAAACCGCGTGGAGCGTGGGCTGATGGATCTGGAGAGGATTTTGACTCTGAATCCAGCGTGCAGACAGCAAAGGGCGGTCCCAAGGAGAAGGCTCAACGTGACGCGATCGATATCCGCCTACCGGAAACCCCAGACGAAAATGTAGTCCAGTCGCGGCTCGCTGCTGCATCGACCCCACTAAACCACGTCAAAGAGACAGCGCCACTGCCGCCCATGCCATCTAGTCACACGGCGCATGAGGTCGAAGAAGACCATATTACCGATACTGTTGGCGCTATCGCAATCGACAGCTGGGGTAACATTGCTTGTGGTGCATCTTCCGGTGGCATTGGCATGAAGTACCGGGGCCGGGTGGGCCCGGCAGCTCTTGTCGGCGTAGGAGCCGCGGTCATCCCCATTGACCCTGACGATTCTGAACAAACATCCGTCGCGACAGTTACAAGCGGAACCGGGGAGCACATGGCAACCACCATGGCTGCCACAGTATGTGCCGAGCGTCTCTACCAGAGCGTGAAGAAAGGCCGCGGCGGCGACTACGTTGAAGTGACCGAAGATGAGGCTCTCCGAGCAATGATCGAGAACGAATTCATGGGTACGTCAATCGCTTTGGTATTGTCTACTCAACTCCATACTAATACTACGCCAGGGCATCCAAGTGTCAAGCACAGCAACTCGGCCGGTGCCATCGGCATCCTTGGTGTGAAGAAGATGCGCTCTGGCATATTGCTCTACTACGGACACAACACTGACTCGTTCGCTATGGCATCCATGTCTTCGGATGATGATCGTCCTGCCTGCTCCATGTCTCGCAGTAATGGTAGTGGCCAGATTGCGCAGGGTGGAAGGATGGTGCCTGTGAGGCGCAACAAGAGGACCAAGTCAACTCCAAGGAGGTGACTGTGGTAGGCGTATGCGGTGCTTACAGTGTCATTTTACGAGTTCATACCTCCTATCACCTGGGATGCGAGTCTAGATACGAGTCAAGAAACTGACGGCGCGGCGGGCGTTCCTGTTCCCTACTCGTCATCGTGAAAAGGCTTTTGCGAGCTCGAATGTGTATATCATTAGTGGAAAAAGTTAGCTAATGGTCGTGATCGTATGGTAAGGGGATATGTGATACGACCAAGACACGAAAGAAAGCAATCTGGTGTCTACTGGATCAGTGGAAGAAGAAATGGGTGTCGCTGTAGAATACTCATTAGATTTTGGCTGTAAAATGATACCTAGCTTCCCGTCTTACAAACTCTCACACTATGACCAGTGCCAAGGACCGGACACAACACATTCGATTCGTCTTGCTTGTCAGGAAATTTTCTTAGTGTGCCTTGGTGCGTGCAAGAAACTGGAATGGTCCAGCATTTGCTAAGTTGACTGGTGAGACATCCGGCTCAAAAATGTGTCCTATCGACGAGTTTCCAGGTCATCCGTGGATGAATATGTTCGCCGAAGGTGCATTAAGCAATGCGTATGGATGGCAACCTGAAATATGGAATACTCCAAACGATGATGAGTTAGCAAATCTGGAAGCCTCTCTTTGCCTTCCCGGTCTTTGCTTTGGCGGGTTTTCCTCAAGGTGCCCTCAGCACGTAGCAGATCGATGCCGTGCTAGATACATACCAATTATAGCAATTCGATGACTCGTCAGACATGGAGAGGGGAGCTCAAATAGCACAGAATTGGGTGTATGAGCGATGTGTCGGCTCCATGGCAACCTCGGTTCAACGACCGCGACGTCACTCTTCCACAGTCCCCAAAACATCTCTGTAGACCCCATACACTCGTCTCACGCAAACCCCTTATCGTACCTGCATATGGAACCATATCACATTGAAAATTCGTACCTGAGCCTATGATTTAACATCTCACTAACTTCATTTTCCATCGTACCCCTTGACTCCCTTCTCCCCACTCCCCTCGACCTTCCCACTGGCCACCCCCAGACTCCTCTCAAACGCCCCCGTAATCCCCATCTGGTCTGTTAGTATACTGACCATATCAAATCCCCTCTCTGCATACCCCCTCGCGTCCTCCCCTGAGTTACAATACATAGCCACTTTCTTTCCCTCCGCATGCGCCGCTTCTTTGATGCTCTCAATCGCCTCCTCCAACTCCTTGTCCATTGTCGAAGTCAAAATAGGATGCCCAATGTTGTTACCGAGATCAAACGGCCCGATCAACAAACAATCTACGCCGGGTAAAGCGGCAATCTCCCGGCAGGAAGCCAGTGCAGACGCAGTTTCTATCTGTACGATTGTGAGAAGCGTACTGTTCGCGTGGCGAAGGTAGTAAGTTAGTGGTTCATTCGAGAAACATTGCGTGGGGAGGGGGGAGCCGAAACCCCGGGTTCCTTCTGGGGGAAACTTGGCGGAGGATACGAGCTTTTTGGCGTCTTCGACTGTGTAGATTAGAGGGACTATGACACCATGGGCACCGCTGTCGAGAGCGCCTGCGCGAAGTGTAAGTTTGTGACGTGGGGATGCTGAGGGTGATGGACGTGTAGACAAGGAATTACTTACGCTTTACCATCCACGGTTCATTTGCTGCGATACGAACAAGAGGGCTCACGCCTGCGTGTGCGATGGCGGTGACTGCTTCGTGCATTTGGCTGTCGTTGATGTTGCCGTGCTCCGTGTCGACACATATCCAGTCAACGCCTGAACGGGCGATTGCCCGAGCATGATTTGTCCCTGGTAGCATCTAAAGCGCCGTCAATCTCTCTGCATCAAGTTTTGTTTCATCTTCAGGATGACTTACCTGCCATCCTCCGAATGTCGGCCTGCCTTCCTGGAAGGCCTTGTATATCCGGCTTGCTTCTTGGAGGGTGTTCATGTTTCGCGAACGAAAAGATGATTGGCTGTTTTGGGATAAAGTGATCTGGGGGCGTTTGAGGAATGATTGAGAAGTCGGTTTGAATGACTTCGACAAAGTGGCTCTTTGTAGGGCGTGCGATATCGTCATGGCTCTTGCAGGGACTAGAGGGGTATGTTGCCGTGTTGGAGATGGCTACCCCACACTGGGACGCGCTAGGCTATGCGGGTTTACGGGGAATGGCAATATACTCTCTCTGTTAACACGTCGGGATCTCGAGGAGATTTCTTGCCTGAGGGACCTATACGATGAGCGTCTATTCTTATATCCATTGTGACGCATGCTGTTACGGGTTCTCTTCTGTGCGAGGTGAGTCAAGGGCGCCTGGGTTCTTTACGGCGGATACGACGCCCTACTGGATTTGTGGAGCCTTTTATCTCCGTGCTATCATCATCAACGCGCTGTGCCCATCTCAAAGCTCACTTCCACCATATTTGGATATCTGACCGCCGTCGGATGACAGTGATCGTCTATCATATCGTATGCAGCCATCATGCCATTGAATACTGTCGCCGGCGCGAGCCAACATTCTCGGAAATACAATCCCAAAGTAAAAACTGGATGCAAAACGTGCAAGTAAGATGATGGATTCGCAGTTACCTGCCAATGACTTTACCAACCGACAATAGAAAACGCCGCGTGAAATGTGACGAAGACCGGCCTTATTGCCTAAAGTAAGCAGGCAAGCTCCCTCACACGCAGGCTTGAAAACTGCCATGTTTACCTGAGTAGATGCACTAGTACTGGTCGCAAGTGCGACGGGTACAGCCAACTGAAGCATGGATACCAGACTCAAGTCATCAGCTTCGCGTTGGATCCATCGAGGGTGCCTCAGCACCCGGTTTCGTCATTTTCCGGATCTGGAAATGCACAGTATCTGGAGTTCTACTACTACCACATCGGACCAATGTTATCCCGCAGATTCGACGGGGACTTCTGGTGTGGCATAGTCCTCCAAATGGCACAAGCCGAATCCTCCGTCCGTAACGCGATGATAGCCCTCGCTTATCTAAATCAAACACAACGCGGCAGCCTAGCAGATGCGCGTCATGATACATCAAAGAAAGATGTAGAGACCAGCCGCCAATTTGGGATGCACTACAACAGAGCCATCAGATGTCTCGTAGCCCGCATGAGCGAAGCATCATACGCGCCAGAAACGGGGCTGGTGACCTGCGTGCTCTTCGCCTGCATAGAGTTTCTGCGAGCCGATAAGCAGAACGCCCTACTCCATATGCGAAACGGACTTTACATTGTCTCTGAGCTGCGGAGAACACATGGTGTTGACACGCTTTTTCGCGAGTCCCGTACCAAGATTATACACAATGGCATCAGCGGACCACTAGAGATGATCGAGAAGACTCTTGTCCCAATCTTCACACAGGGTCTGATATCCGCACTACTACATGGTGTAGATGTGGACATGGAATTTGCTTTCCTCGAGTCTACGCTGCTGAACCACCTGCACCTGCAAACCTTCAACAATCTACGCGAGGCGCGCTTCTCATATTGCGAGATGAGAGATGCTTCGATCATTCTTGCGCGCGATTTCGCTATCAAGCTGTTCCAAGGCCTTGAACCATCTCCATCGGAGGTTGAGCGTCAAACACATGTTCTGGCCTGCCACCAGACCTGGTTCAGAGCTTTAGTCGCCTTTGAAGAAAGTTCTGCGCTTATCTCTGAAGAAGACAAGCTTGCGATGAGTACGTTGAAAATCGGTTATTACACCACGTATACTGCTTCTGCGTGTGTACACGATGCCAGTCAGATGTCGTTCGATGTGTATCTCGATAGTTTCAAGGCCATCGTATACCACGCTGACGTCCTCGTAAACAACACTGTAAACACTCCCAGCTCCACTCAAGAGCAAAGGATGCGTTCTGGTGCTGCCGCCAACTTCACATTCGATACTTGTCTAGTCCCCGCCCTGTACTATGTCGCCCTCCGCTGCCGCCACCCATCTACCCGCCGCGCCGCCATCGCGCTCCTATCTCGAAATCTTCCCCGTGAAGGCCTCTGGGACCCGGGTCTCTATCGCATAATAGCCGAGCGCATCGTGGAGATTGAAGAGAAAGAAGTTGATGGGAGCGGCTGGCCGGTAGAGCGAACGAGATTGTGGAGTGCAAGTGTAACGGCTGAGGTCGGTGAAGAAAGTGGACTTCGATCAGATTTCTTGTTTGCAAGGGATGTTGGGAGGGGGGCGGGGAACACATGGAGCGAAAAGAAGGTGCCTTCTGTAGCTGAGCTATATGTTGAGGTGTGCAATGCAACTTAGACGCTTAGTAACAACGCCAAATATCTGTGCATAGCGCATACAGAGCATCGACAGACCCGGTATACTAGGAGTAATAACCTCAACTTCAATCGCCCCACAGACAAAATTATCCTCTCCGTGCCAGAAATGTCTACAATTATATGGATATCCGCTGCCTCCCAGAACCTTACACACTCGTCTTCCTAGAGAACGCCAAGTGACTCCAGACACTGCCAAACCCCACCGTCTGGCCTTTATACCAGCCGTGGTGATGCTTTTAGTACAATCAAGAAGAAGAAGAGGAATAACAAGCAGAAGAGTGATGTTACATATCCGTAATCATAGCCTGATCGTCGCCACGCTGACCCTCGGTCACGATACCAAGAAGACGCGCATACGGCACCGTGATACGCTGGAGGTCGCGATGTTTACCTGCATGCCATGTTAGCAACCTGAAATCCGAAAACATCGTAAAAGATAAGCATGAGAGAGAAAAACTTACCAAGAATCAACACCGCCTCCTTGAGCAACTCCTCCCTCTTCCACCCGCAGATTTCTTCCGGCTCCTTCATTGCGCCTTCATCCTCTTCCTCATCGTTGTTGTCCTCCTCATCCTCAGAAACAAGACTGCCCATGAGGCTGCGCAACAACTCTTCAATCTTCCCCTTGAGGCCCTCAGCACCAAGACGCTTAACGTACATGGTAAGATAGATCTTAAACTCCTCCCTCGCACCCAGGGTGCGTGCGGCTGCAACGCGGTTCTCGAGATGCGCCACAGACGCCGAACTCTCAAACGTTTCGTAGCCCTCTGCAGAAACCAGGATCTTAATGAGTCGCTGGAGGTGGAAGGCGCGGCCTTGGAGTAGGGATTGGTTCGTCGTGTTGCGTTCGAGTGCAGGTATGATTCCTGCTGAGATGTTCTCGATAGAGACCTGGTCGTCCTTTTCTTTCTGTGCTGCGTTTTTGTCTTTGGAAGATCGGATGTTGCCGACGGAGGAATCAGTAGAGTTCCAGTATTGACTTGTAACACCCCACCAGGGTTCTGAAAGACGTTGCCAAATGTACATGTCGGGGTTGTATGCGTAGCCCTCGCCGTTTGACATGGCTACTGTTATGCGGCCTGCAGAGTTTAGGCGCGCGAAGACGATGCCAGGAGAGCGCGTGAGGTGGGGGCCCTGGGCATAGGCTGCAACGTCGAGGATGGGAGCTAGGGAGATGGGTGGGTGCGGTGCGGACATTGTTTTTAGGTTCCAGATGTAGACCATGCCGACTGCTGTTATGCACATTAGCCACCAGCCACGGCAGTCCATGATTACGGGTTGTGCTTCTAGGACCATGGCGTTGAGGGTTCGGCGACCAGCGGGAGTCCACGCGTATACTGAGCCGTCCTCGCATGCCGCTGCAAAGAGGTTCGTGTTGCCTGTGACTAGGAGTACGGCTTTTGGCAGGAAATCCTGCCAGAGTGACTGCCCCTTGCTGGTACAGGTTAGTCTTGTTGGATCGTGGTCTTGTGGACGGCCTGTCCGTGATGGCCCGCTGGCGTTGCGAGCTTCTAGGATGACAGTGTCTGGTATTTCTGCCTTTCCTGTATTGGCATCAACACCACTCTGCGGTGGCTCGCTGCCGTCCATGGTTCGCACGATAACACTTCTGACTTTTGGCACAGCCAATCGTACCTGAGCGAGGGCCATGTGAGGATTGACGATGGCGGGCCTTAGAACCGATGGAGGCTCTGTCAGGTCGTTTGTCTTCGATGGTGCAGCAGCCGGGGGAACCAGACCCTTCTCGCTATTAAGTACAATTGCTGCACCTCCAGGTTTGACTGAACCAGCCAATCTCCGCTCCACTTGTCTGTCTTCATCGCCTTCGATTTCAGCGAATTTCCTCTTGTTTCCTATCAACATGGTTGCGAGTCCACCTTTTGGAAACCCATCGTATGGCTTCGACAGATCTAAGATATTGTGGGGATTATCATTCCTACCGCCTGACGTGGCTGTTGCAGAGAGGAGCTGCGTTTGAGGTAAGGATGATTCGCCGACACCGGAGGAAGACGACATGAGCATAGGTGCTATCCGCTTCTTGCCATCCTTATTGATGGTCACCCTTTGCTTGAGCTTCTCGACTCTAGCATCTGGAGCTGGCTCAGTAGGGGCCGCTGGTGGTGCAGCAGCGCTCGATCCATTTGTGAGGTTTGTCGTAGTAGTGGCACCGTTGGTTCCGTTGGGGATGGTTGGAGGTTGGACTGCACCTCCGGCGTCGCCCATGAGTGCACCCATCCTGCCTTGAACACCCTTTAGCTCTCCACTCTTACTGCTCTCTTCCAGAAGTAGTGCGTCTGTACCCTCGATGATGCCAACTCTTCTGCCAGCACCAAACTTGGCAAGTGTCTTTTCGTTCTCTGCCAGTGTCGCTGGATAGCCTAGTTCTCCAGGCGCAAACACAAGTGTCAATATGCTACCATCGAGACTGGTAGCGTATAGCGTTTCCCCGTTTGGTGCCCACGACAAGTCAGAAATAGACTTTCCTGCCAGCTCCTGCGAGATCATAAACGGTCTAGGAAAGCTTGTATTCCACACACTCAAGCATTTGTCTTGTCCGGCGCAAGCAACAATTGTAACAGTTGGCTGATTGATAGTTCCGTCCTTTTCTGGTCGCGGTGGGTCCCGGTAAAACAATCGCGGAGAAAACGAGGTTACTTCAACGGGCCCTTCATGGCCGACCAGACTGATGTCTCCGTCCCACGAACCACGCGCAAGGATAGCGACGGAGCTGACTGGCCCGTTTGTAGCATTCGCAGCGGCGATGTGTGCGCCATCGGGCGACCATGAGCAACGGCGGAAGTATGTGGTAAGCGGGGAAGTCTGGAAGGGCGCGGTGATGGTATGGTCCAAAACAAAGTTGTTGACCTGGTCTTGCTGCGAGGCGTTTGGCGGCGGAGAGTTGAATCGGTAAACCTTGATGGTGCGGTCGTCGCTAGCAGTAGCGAAGTATTTGTTGGCTGGGTCAAATGTTATGCCCTTGACGTGACTCTGGTGGTTTGACAGTGTCTTCAACTTCTCGAAGGAATGCCCAGACCAGACTACGACTTTCGAGTCCAACCCCACCGATACCAGAATTGACGAGTCAAATGACCAGCCAAGATCCTGCACATCGTTTTCGTGTCCTATGAGGCGGCGAGTGACACGCCAATTCTCGACGGGTGGGGGTTCGTTCGATCCTGCGATTCTATCAGCTCATCTTCATCGTGGGTGCCCTGCCTTTACCCACCAAACGTTGGACGCGCCGGCGCCGCATTCTTGTCGAGAGTATAGACGCATACTATCTTGTCGTCTGCGCCAGAAGCCAGGTATTTGCCGTTGGAAGAGAAGCGGACCGCGTGAATGGTACCAGAATGATGGCTCACAGCCGCGAGCTGCTTTGGTTTCGTATACGAGGGGTCGTTTGAGTTCAGGATAGCCTCGGTAGACCATACACGTACATAGCCATCTGTAGATGATGTGTCAACAGTCTTCTCGGGAGGAACGCATCGCGCGGGAAACCCCAGGGTGGGTTGACGAACCTCCGGCAGCCGTGGCCAAGCGCGATCCATCAGGGGAAACGTGGCAACTGTATACTTCGAAGTCCTTCTGTTCGCCTATGACAAACTCGTGTCAGCAACATGGCAATACAACAATAGCACATGCATGCGCAGAGATGCACTAACCCGGGTGTGTTAACCACTGTGGTTTAATGAGATGCATGGTCGCGTAAATATCGCTAGCAGTTGAATCATGCTATTACGCGACCATGAAAGTAGGGCAGAAAAGGCTGGAAGAAGAGGTCGTGGGTTGATAGTTGGGGCGCACGTTTTGGTGAACCGCGACAGTTGTCTGGTGTTGGCGACGCGATCTCGCGGTCGACGCTACTTGGCAGACGTTTGGGCAGGGGTTTAAGGTTTAGGTGCATGCGCCGATCAGAAAGTGGACGTTAAACGAGCCGCTCAAGACTGTGGGGGTGTATCATGCATTCATGCTAACACTACGACTTGGTCTTCCTTCATCTCGCTGTCTCTAATCATTTGTTACGCAAGAACGGCTAAGGTCCTCTTCGAAGCTGGCCAGCCATCCCGCTTCCCTATTGGTTGCTTGTTACAAAGACATCTAAACCTGGAACTACACTACTCAACGCGGCATTCTGCTGAATGCATCCTACCCAGCTTCGTTGTCCAAGTCATAATCCAGCAAGCCCTTGCATAGATAATAAAGATGCTCTGATACACGCATGTCCTGCTGCTTGGTGCCAAAGCCCATACAAGTCTCGCTTGAGCTCATTGGAAGCAGATCCATTTAACGAATGTCCACTTCGAAACTGGATTCTATAACAGACGAGCCGAGGCTGATAACAGCGTGATCGACCGGTGGCGCATGGATTGTGGATGGAACGGGTCATGATGCTGCTCATTTCGCCTTCTTCCTCTTCTTGAAAACCACCGCTGGTGTAGCTGGCGCATCCTCCTCCTTTTTCACAATGGCCTCGGCAGCCTTTGCTTCCGCTTCTTCAGCCGTGGGTATATCCTGCAGGGTCTTGGCCTCGTTCTCTTCTTCAACTTCAGCTTTCACTCCATCCCCAGGTTCTTCCCTCTTGACCTCTGGCTGCAATTTCTTCTTCCTAAGCAAGCTCTCAATGTCATCGTCATCGCCACCCTTGCTGCCCGGGAAACTCTTGTACGTGTGTCCCCAGCCTTTCCGTTTGGTGATGAGCTCTCCGGCAGCCTTTTGCTCTTCCTCATCCTCATCCAGTTGCCGCTTCCGCACACCCTTGTTCAACGATGTTGCCTTGAACTCTCCGTCCTCAGTGACTTCTCCCACGACTTCTTCCTTTACTGTCTTCCATTCGCCCGCTATCGCCAAATCGCCTCTTGCAGCCGCGGGAAGCGCCACACCCATAGCTGCCAGCTGCTCCCATTGTCGTTTCCTGTCGTCTACTGTGGCTTTCTTCTCGGGTTCCTTCTTGAATGTGGGCTTGCCGCCTACGCCAGTCGCGACGGAAGGAGTGGAGGATGCCGATGGTACAATGCCATTCAGCCGAGCGACCTCTGCTTGTGCGCGCGCCTGATTGCGCTTCTCGTTTTCCTGTTCGCGATGTAGTCCCTTCAGACTACGCTGGATGTTGCCTTGGTGGCGTCCGGTCGCTTCGTGTTGCGCGCGCTCGAATTTGGTGTCCTTGACAAACACGGAGCAAAACTTGCACCAGTATTTTGGCTGCAGTAGAGTTAGGGTATGACGCGCTTGTCTTTCTTGGTCTCACTTACTGTCGATTTCCAGTATTCGGCCATGGTTGAAGGTCAGAGGAGTGCTTCGCAACCATCCAAAGTCGGGGAAAGCTTGCTTGCCGCACGGTCCAGGTGGTCTCGGTGGTCCGCAATGCGAAGACGAGACGAGTTCGCATGGCGCGAACCACGACTGCGGATCTTTCACCGCTACCCCCACTTAAACACAAATCCGTCTTCACATGTCTCGCACTAGTTTCTCATCGTCATACCTTCCACATTTCTACATCGACGGGGCTAGGCTCTTGTGATAATCGTAATGCACGTCATCCAGTCGACTAGGAAGAGAGTGGCATCTATCGAGACACCGGCTAGCAGCAGAAAAGCAAGCCTTTACTACTCTCGTGCCCATACACGTACTAGAGAGTCGACTGCATTCATGCGTTTGGACTAAAGGGCGCCTTAGCGATGCGCGCGTGAACATCAACCTTCCGTCTTAGCCGTCCATGTATGTCTCGGTGGACTGTCTACACAATGTTGCCCTGCAACACCTCGCACACCCATGGAGCCTTCGAATGCTGTATCCCTGGCTTCATCCATCATACAAACTGTCGAGTACTCGGCCAAAGTGGTACACAAGGGTAAAGTGGGCGGTCTACACGGATCTGATGCCAACGCCTTGAAAGAACCTACACTGCTCGATGACGCGATAGCTAACCTCGCCGACTTATCACAACAACTCAGGAAGACACAGCATGTAGTCCGAAATTCCAATACCACTCCTGATCAACACAACACAGCGGATGCGCAACTTATCGCATGTGCGAAAGATGGTGCGGGAGTGGCGAAGATTTTACAAGCCACACTGGATCAAGCGAAGCGCAACCACGACGTGGATGAACAAACTGTACTTGATCATGGACTACGCAGCGTCTTGTGTTTGTATTATAACCAGAAGACGATTTCAGCTTTTTTAGACACGCTCAATTCTGTTCGTAAGCAAGTAGATATCGCTCTTCTCGCCTCACTCAAGTAAGTGTGATACTCCCGATACAATCACCCATTAATCGTTGTCACAGAAAATCCATTTCACAGCTTAATCAAGCTCATCTGGAAAAGGGATGGCTTTCCGGGGACAAAGCGGCCAACGCCCGTGTGCAGTTACTTTACGCCGTCAACCATCACAATTGGAAGCCCACGGAAACGGCCGACATTTCATCGTTTTCAGACGCTTTGAAAGACGCCGTTGTAAGCGACGACATAGAAAGTCGCTTTGCGAGCATGATTTTGGCACACTTACGTTTCACTGGCTTGCCCGATCGCTTGAAGGCAATCCCGTGTACACACCCCGGAACTTTTCAATGGACGTTCGACGGAAGCTACGAACGGACTAATTCTCGTGATTACGAATCCTTCCCTCGGTGGCTCGCTGCAGTCGATGGTAGCAACCTGTATTGGGTTTCTGGCGAGCCCGGTGCTGGGAAGAGTACGCTGATGAAGTTCCTATCCAGTCACCGTCGGACTGCTGCCCAATTACAAACTTGGGCCAAGGCAAAACCAGTCGTCAAGGGAAGATTCTTCTCCTCAAGTCTGGGAAACAACATGCAAAAGTCGCGATTGGGCCTTCTACAGACTTTGCTTTATTGCGCACTCAAACGTGACAGGAAGACCTTACTACAGGTTTTCCACCATCGCTGGCAGCAATTTCGGACTTTTGGCGGGGGTCGACAACCTTTTACATGGAACGAGCTACGCTATGCCTTCATCATGATGGTTTCAACCCCTCTAACGCCGAGGTCATTTTTCTTCGCGATCGATGGCCTAGACGAACTTGACGGAGACCCGAAAAAACTTGTGCAATTTCTCACGGACGTGGCTAAGTTTCCGCAAATCAAACTTTGCGTAGCTAGTCGGCCAACACCAGAGTTCCTTCGCATTTTCAAAGGCGAGCCTTGTCTTCGCCTCGAACGCTGCAATCGCCAAGACATCCACAATTACGTCAAGGCTTCGTTCATAGGCAACGAAGTGTATGCAAATTTCAATAGATCAGACCCCGGATCTGCTACCAATATCATCAAAAATATAGCCAAGAAGGCAGCCGGCATCTTTCTCTGGGCATATGTCGTGGTAAATGTTCTGCTTGATGGACTGGTGACAACAGCCCGCATTCACGACCTTGTCGCTCAACTGGAGTCCCTCCCGTCTGGATTGGAGCAACTCTTCACGAAACTCATTGGTAGTCTGAATATACGGCACCTGAGGCACGCCTGCCAACTCTTCCGTCTGTTTGCCGTGAAAACACGACCAATGTTATTGGAGCTCTGGTTTGCAGACTGTGAAAATGATGATCCGGCACTGAGGAGCGACGCCAGACCGCTGGCAAGATCTGAGATCTTGGTGCGTCTCGGAACTATGAAACGTCAGCTAAACTCTCGATGTCGAGGTCTACTAGAAGTGGAAAGCTCGCACAAGGGCTCCAGCGCCGTGCTGTCAGAAGGTACGTTCGTGTTGTATTCGAGGTCCAATCGAAGCTGAACACAAGCAGCATCTCATGTCACCTGGACACATAGCATTGCGCGCGACTTCGTCCGATCTCAGCGAGTCTGGAACATCGTGCTCGATAATACCGGACACGACGCTTTCGATCCGCAATGGCACTGGGCCAACGGCCAACTCGGTCTATTCAAGACACTCGCTGGTACCATTAGTACCAAGACCTCCCACTTCGCCTCCTGCATCGAATATGCATTAAGACTAGAACACCGTCTCCAGATTTGTCCAATCAAATTTCTGGATGAATTAGGACGTACTGCAGCCATATACTCGACGGTGTACGGTGAACTCATACCCCGCAAGCTAAATATCAGCGTCGAAAACTTTCTTGATTTTGCTGTGTTGTTCAACCTCACCAGCTATGTTCGTACCAAAGGTGTCACGCTACCAAGAGAAGATTTGGTACGTAGTTGTCGCTTACTAGGCTTGCTGGATGTCAAGCAATGGGAGGTATGTTCAAAACGCTTCGGCGCCCCAGCCGTCTGGAACGCGGATTTCGAGGAAATGAAAAGAGAGATGGAGCGTGTAATGAATGGTTTGCTTGATCGTGGGAGTGACAAATCGAGATGGGAGAGGGCCAAGAAGAGACTGTCTAGGCAGAGAAAGACGTAATCTGTCGCTCTTGAACGTACGTTTCGATAACTTGGACAGAGTATACAACGGATGGCTTGGCAGAACCATTTCACGTCTTACTATCCGGGATCATTGCAGAGGGTCTGCATAGTATACATTTTAAAAAAACAGTATTCTACATCGCGAACCATGGAAACAACACGAGCATATCAAGCATACCACCTCATTCCCTTTCCAGGGCCTTCAGATTGAACTCCGTGTACTCCGGCATCTCCCACCTCTTTTCCTTCCCTTCTGGTAAAAGTCCCGCAAGCCACCCGATTACCCTATCAACTCTTAGACTACTCACCGTCCAAAGCGCCCAACCCGCCATCCAAAGCCCCCACTCTGAACTCGGAAGGGGACCCTTTCCATCCGCATAGGGCCCAAGCTTCTGACATTCCTCAACAGGCTGCTTCATGGCCTCTTGATAGGCTTCCAGCGCAGCATCGACGTCACCATGTCGAAACAACTCGCCTGCAAGGACGTATGCGCCGATGAGGGAGAGTGTAGTGCCCATTCCTGTAAAGGGTGAGGGACAGTATCCCGCGTCGCCAAGGAGGACAACGCGGTCCTTGTGAAGTTTCTGCTGAGGCATCTTCACTTGGCCGATTTCTGTGGCGTAGAAATCTTTTACAGTGTCTAGGCCTTGGAGAAAGCGTGGGCACTCCCATCCTGCATCTTGGTACAAGCTCTTCCAAGCATCTTTCTGTTCCTCCGCGGATCTCTTCTGGTAAGCCGCCATGTGGCTTGCTCTGTCTTTGTCTTTGCCGTTCATGAGGAACAGGTAGACTTGCGTTGCCGGTTGGTTGCCCGTACGTGTCATTACCATGCGGTTGTTGGAACCGAAGTAGATGCGTGCTAGGCTATCTTCTGTAGGAAGACGAGGGATCTTGTAGTATGCGGCATGGATATTCATGGAGTGGAAAGCCGAGCTGGAAATTTCGGAGCCAAAGGCAAGAGAACGGGTCCGTGAAGCTTGACCATCTGCTGCGATTACCAGATCGAAGGTGCGGGTCTCGCCGATGGAGAATGTTACTATTGCTGTCTTGGGGGAAGATGAGGATTCGGAACGGGAGAGCGCGGTGATGGATTTGTTGAACTCGTAGGTCAGTCCACCTTTGACATGTCCTCTGGTGGTTAGAATCTCCCGTTCCTGGATGCTGATATCATGCATCATTTTGACGAAATCCCCCCTCATGAACTCAAACTCATGGGTTAGAGTCAACGCCCCAGCGGTGTCTCCTGCTTTCGTGATACCGAATTGTATGAGGCTTTTACCATTTCGGTCAACAAACTCCATGCCGCCTTCCTTGACACAGTACGAGCGAATTGTATCCAGGAGACCTAGTTTCTCCAAGATGGGGATGCCTTGTGCTTTGATATCGATTTGCTGTCCGCCTGTCCGGAGCGTGGGAAATCGTTCTATGACCGTGATCACGTGATTAGGGTTAGAACGTTGGAGCATGAGGGCGAGGGCCGGACCGCAGACGCCCGCGCCTACAATGAGAATGTTCAAGGATAATGGCGATGTCGTCATCTTTGCGATAGTAGCGCTGATGTATGAGAATGTAGGCTAGACAAGGACGAGGGTTCGTGGAAGGTTTACGGAAGGCTTCCGGTAAGAAGCTTGTGGAAGACTTGTAAGAAGCTTGGTGTTAATCCTACCTAAAATTGAGTTTGGCTTTCAAGAATTCCCCCGAGTCGCGCCGCATGTTATATTGCCATTGCTACACAAAGCCATCGGCGTACGAGGCGGCTCCGACTTTTGATCCGTAAGACCGAAGGTATCTCCGTGAGGCACATTAGCGGCCGTCGGACAAGCTCTTTGAGGCCGGTGAAAGGCCGGTGCTAAGTTACCCTTAAATTCACATGCCTGCTTACTACTAATCTAATCTGATCTGATGGCGTGATGTCTTCGCTGAAGTTGCTAAACTTGATACTAAGCTTCTTGATTCAGTGCTCTAGGCAACAATAAAAGTGATGTCGCGCAGTGGGTCTCACTGTTGCTTGAGGGCTGTGACGACAGTCATTGGATACATGATCTAGGCAGCGAAGAAAGCACTATAGTACGAGCATTAGGCTACAGCCCATGACACCATGAAGCCAAAATTCCTTCAACTTCCCTGGGGGTATCTAACCATCTGCGGACATCTCAGCAGCCCATATCCCAACCCTTTTCCTGCCCACTCACTCAGATCAATATCGGTACCATCCACAGTCTTCCAGCCCATCTTCTCGTAAAACTTCTCGGCCGAAGCAGTGGTCTGTACGATTACCAATTCCTTCTCTAGTTCGTACTCACGATACATGTATTCTACCATCATCCTCCCGACCCCCTTTCCCTGCCACGCAATCTTGACGTTCATAGCCCCAATTGCTGATTCATGGTATAAGCTATCAGTCTGCTTGTCGACTAGATTCTAGCTGGGGAAGAGGTACTTACTGACATGGGGCTTACCAGCCGTGATACCACGCCATTTAGCGATCACGTTCCTCGACCAGTACCGTCCAAATGTCCCTGGATTAGTAGGTCCTACTTCTTCATCTGGAGCGACCGCCTGCGCACTTGACGGTGTCACAGCATTAACCCAGCTCCCGTCCTCCCACTTCACCAGCCCCCATCCCACCGTCTCTTCCTTCCGTGAATCCACGGCTTTGATCAAGTGGAACTTTTGCCCATCAGGTTCAGTAAAGCGTCCGGAGAGTCGACTGATGAGGGCATTTGACTCTTTCTCTGTGGCAATGCTGTGGTAGGGGCTGAACTGGAAATGGGTCAGTAAAGAGGTCTCAGCGGCTTCCGTGCGAATTGCTGCGAGGGTGGGAACGTCGGAGAGAGTGGCGGGGTGAATGGAGATGTATTCTGTCATCCTTGTTGTGTAATGCAAGTACAAGGTATCGATCGATGTAGGATGTTGGTCTGATCTTTGTTGCGTTTAGGACACCATATTGCGGGGTCAGTCATGATCAACAATGCCGATTGTGGCGAAAGACCGATAATACTATGCTGCATATCTCCTGCCATAACTGGCGTAGTGCTTAGAACTATCACATCTTACTACAACACAGGCTCTAGCTTTGGAAACCTGGTTTCCTAGGCTCCAGGTGCATATGGACCCTGCAAAGTCGACAAGTTAATATCAGCCTCAGTCCTCCAATGGTCTCGGACCTTTAAGCTTACTATTGTTGATGCTCTCAAGAGTGTCAATGTAGCTGCGGACTTACTAAGACTTTGCGAGCCTTTGCAACGCAGAAGGTGTAACTGCAGGCTATGTGATTGTAACGAGCAAAACAAATGAAACGTAGACTATGGACTGTATAAGAACGCTCGACGCTCAACCGCACTCTCTAAGCCACCGGCGAACGAAACTGGGCTGTAAGCGGCCACGCCATCCTCGCGAAGTATGCAATGTTCCCCGCTTTCCTGCTCTGCGGCCCATACAGCCTTCACGCACGTCCAGACAAGCAACGCCACTACATCTCTTCAACATCTAAGCGTTTTTGGGCCATGAGATCCCTTGGCAAAGTATTCCGATCGAGTAGTATCGCCAGCGAAGGCTTTGAGAAGCAAAAGATCCACCAAATTCTTCGAAGAGCTGGATTCTGCAGCACGCATCATGTCGCGTACCAGAAGAGCGCAGAGGTAATAATGCTTATAGCTTTGTTAATGCGCGATTGGATTACTAGCCTTGAGAGAGCTAACAAAGCAGCGAGCGAGCGTAGGCAGCGTACAAGAAGCAGATACAGGAGCGTAGGACCTTAACAGAGGGAGAAGAAGATGATATACTAGCTCAAAAGGAGGCTGGCCTGCAGATTAAGCGTAAACAGCGTTAAGGTGATAAGCGATCAGGCCTTAGCCGCCAGGCTCTCGAGCGATACAAGAGGTGCAGAGAGACTGGTCACAACTCACGTACATGCAAGAACAATACTTTAGATACTGCTTAATCTGTTATATAGACTCGTATATACTATCTCTTGACGTGGGTGTAGTGTGCGCTCGAACAGGCGCAGAAAGTTGGTGGGTTGGGCCGCCCGCTTGCCAGGCACGTCACCTACCCCTCACACCCTGCCAGCTGACAAGAAGCTAACCACTACACCGTAGAACTAGAACATGCTCGCGCGTTCATTGCCTCAAATCGCTTCAGCTTGACTGAGTTCGCGTGGAACGTGGCTCTGAATTTGCGCACATGTTTGACGCCTCCAATAGAGGGGTGCTATAGTTGGGCTAGCCATGCAGCCATGGCGTTGCATGGCTGCAAAGCTGAGGTTTTTGGAACTCAAATTCATTGAGTAGCCACAGCCCCAAGATCATATATGTTTCAACTGCCAGGCGGTTTTGGCTCAAGAACATTGATCATAGTCTCGTCCGGCCTGTCCTATCTTCCCAGCCCGAGCCTCAAGCCATGATTGCAGGTGGCACTAAGACCCGTGATCTCGCGACACCAATAGCTGAGGTGCGGGTGCGTGTGGAAGGATTCACCACGCTTTCCGAAGGAGGTCGAAGGCCCGTAATAGAGTGAGTATTCTCCCGTTGGCTGTGCGAAGGTTTCACTAGCCAGCAGCATTAACGCTAAGCAGCATTGTTTTCATTCATGGCCTAGGTGGCCATGCTGAATCAACATGGACATCGACCGAATCCGACGTGCAGGAAACACCGACATCAACAATCAGTGATACATCGCTATCGCCAGTCGATGCGAGAGAACGACGCAAGACTTTCTTCAACACTAAACGATCAAAGAAATCAAAAGACAAACGACAGGCCAACTTCTTTTGGCCTCATGCTCAGCTCGCCAAAGACTTTCCTGAAGCTCGCATTCTCACGTAAGTAGTTGTCAAGACTACCGTTGCCAGCTGTCCTGACCCTAATAGCTATGGATATGATTGTAACGTAGTCAGGCTGTTTGAAGCTGAAGATCGACGAGGCATAATAGCGCATGGTATGTAGAGACCGCTTCGTTTTGCAACGCTTATCGAGTACATCTGTCTGATGCATCGAATACCAGGTGATGATCTGATCGCCGCTCTTGTTGATCAACGTGTTGACGCGAAAGATCGACCCATCATCTTTGTGGTGCATTCCTTGGGTGGGCTGATTCTGAAACGTGTAAGGAGTTTCAGGCTACAGAGACCTTGAACTTTCGCTAAACCATCCTCTCAGGCATTATGGACTTCGCGTGATTCGCCCAAGGTTGACACGAAGAACGTCTTCGAATGTACAGTCGGAATTCTGTTTTTTGGTACGCCACACAGAGGGGGTAATTACGTCAATCTCGGCGGCGCTCTTGCTCATGCTCTGAAAGCATCGGGTCATACGGTCAGTCGTCAGATTTTGGACAACTTGAGGCATGATTCTGAACTACTGGAACTCTTACGGAGAGAATTCGGCAGGATGCTTGATGAAAATCATTTTGACATTTACTCATTCTACGAAACAAAGGCGCTCTCTGCCATGGTTATTATGGGTAAAAAGGTACTAAGCCCAACATCTAGATGACTGTTACTGATCTTCATTGCAGGTAGTTGATAAATCATCGGCAACACTCGAACACAGGAGGGAAACTGCTCGCAGCGCCCCCGGTAACCATATGACGATGTGCAAATTTACCGGACCAAAGGATGCTCGGTACGAGGCCGTCAAAGCCATTGTACAGGCCTTTTTGAACTCCGAACGAGTTCAGAGAACAGAAGAGATAACTAGTATGTAATAATATTGTCCTTTTGATACTGAACAGTCACATGCTCTCGTGGACGCTGACACTGCCCAATCACTGTAGACTGCATCTCAAGTCTTGAAGTAGCAGAGATGAATAATGACCGGGTTGAATCCCGGCTATATACCATAGTGCAACGGCACGAGGAGACCCTAAACTGGCTTTTCCAGGACGTCGTCACTGGGCCTCATGGAAGAGAACGGCGGCATGGTTTCGTGCCTTGGCTTCGAGGAGAGAAAGGTATTTTCTGGATCCGTGGCATACCAGCATCCGGTAAATCAACTGCTATGAAGTTTATTCACTACTACATGAGCCACACTAATCGAAGCAAGAAGTCGTGGCTGCATGTTGCTTTGTTTTTCCACGATCGCGGAACCAGTGAGCAAAAAACAATGCTTGGGATGCTCCGGTCGATACTCAGACAACTTATCTTAGGATGCCCGAGCGAGAGGCCAGAGTTGGTCCAACTAGTTGCGCCTTTCGGACGCGTCAGTTCCAGCGACCACATAACGTCAGAAAACAAACGCCGTGGCGCTGACGATTGGCTATGGTCTGCCGAAGGTCTGCAGAAGGCTATTCGAGCCGTAGCCACCCAGAAGAGCCTCAGAATGAATGTTTTCCTAATGGTTGATGCACTTGACGAGCATAATGGTGACCATGAAGGAATGATACGATTCTTGCAGGACCTTGCGGCCCCGAGCGAATCTCGCTCGTTCAGATTCCAAATCCTCCTAGCAAGCCGGCCCGATCCACCTTTCAACGACCTTCTTCGTACCTACCCGCATCTCAGCATCCATGAATGGACGGAGGAGGACGTCAAAACCTTCATTACCAGCTCTTTCGGCGAAGATCTAAGCTTCCAAGAGTGTTTATCAAAATTCCACGACTGCGAGGACTTCCCGAAACTAGAGGCTGCTATGGTTGGCAGAGCTCGAGGCGTGTTCCTTTGGGTGCGTCTTATAATCGAAGATATTCTGGATCAAGTGAAACGCCGCATAATCGCTGATGTTTCGGCATTGCTTAAAAGACTAGCTAAGCTTCCAGACGATCTTGTCGACTTATACACCCGTATCCTGAAGCGTGTTCCAGAATCTGACAGCATAGATACCTATATCCTCTTGGAAACAGTGCTGCGTGCGAGACGGCCTTTGACAGTGTTGGAACTCGCGTACGTGTTGATGCTGGGACAAAGAAAGATTTCTCATAAGCTTGATGAACAAAAGAGCTTGGAATCACGATTGAACGAAGAAGATGTTATTTTGATCGAGAAAAATGCTTGGAGCTACGTGGACCGTATCCTTGGTTCGTGCAAAGGGCTGCTTCAAGTTTATGGACGATACTCAGACTATCCATGGCTTGACGAGAATGAATCAATGTTGTCCGCACCTGCGTTTCAACGATTCATCCCTCGCACTCAGGCACACACATATGAGGCCGCAGCGCACGACCAGTCATTCGAGAATACAATTACTAGAGGCTTGACACGAAGGGGTACTACAGGTACCGCCTTCTCCGATGGGATTGCCTTACCACAACGCGATTCAATTATACACCACACTAAGTGTCCAGAGGCCCACTGGCACGTGCAGCTGCTCCATCAATCTGTGAAAGAATACATGTTGAAGAAAAACGGGAGGAATCTGGATTGTCTTTTTGAGAGGGTCGGCTCGTCAGATGCTTCATTAGGCAACGTTGAATGCCGCAACCGTCCAGCGGACAACGGTCATGTCTACATTCTCGATTTGTGTGTTCAGATTCTTCGCATGATAGTCTCTCCACCACACAAAGGCCCGCCATCGGGGCCAAGAACAAAATGGCCAACAACGACAAGCACAGAGACTATGTCAATACTTTCTCCGGAAATAATTGGGGAATGGGTGCTACACCATGGAGTCAACGCAGAAATCACGATGCACAAATCATTTATGGCAACGTTGGATGCGGCAGATCGGTATCTACAGATCTCTCTACGCAGAGGAGATTGGCCTGCTCTCATTACCAGACAGTACGAACTCAATGTTTGGCACTTCAACTTCATCGCATACGCTATAGGAGCAAACATGTACCACTTTGTCGAAGACAAGCTAAAACTACGACCTGAGATAATGCATGCAAAGAAAGGTCGCCCTCTACTATTTTTCGCCATTTGGACCCCCGGTGGAGCGGCTTGCACAGAGCCAAGGATGGTACAGTTGTTGCTTGATCATGGAGCGAAAGTTCAGGAGCAGTGGGTCGATGGGGAAGGCAACAAGAAAGATGCTTTGAGGAGTATGCAATACAAAGATTGTGATGCGAGCGGCTACCCAATTAAGGAGATTATGCTACTGCTCCTGGAGAACCATGCAAACCCGAACCTTCTAGTGATCGACTCCCAAAGCCGAAGCCGCCGACCTCTGGCCCATCAAGTAATCATGATGAACATCAGCGCGAACGCCAAGATGGAAGTTCTCCAGGCGCTAAAGAAGGCCGGGGCTGATTTTGCTGCGCAAGATTCAGAAAGGCTCAAAATATTAGACGTTTACTGCCAGAGGTTGCTTGGAGGAAAAGTGCGAGAGCAGTTCTCCATTGATGAACTTGAGTGGATTCTCAAAGCTGGGGCACGTATCACGGCGGGTATGTTCAATAGCGATGGTTTTAAGAGGACTTTGCTATACCATGACGATCTCCGTCATCCCAGGTACTATACGTGGAGTGGTCAAATGGCTGCTCGCAAGGACAACCCAGAGTGGCCGCAATTTTCGTTTTTTCGAGGTCTCTTCAGCAACGTAGACATGTCGGCTCGATAATTTGTTAACGTTCACATATTCTACTTCTGAGCTGTGCGGAATATTAGGTATCAAGTAATACTAATTTCCTCGTCGCCTACCACGCAAGAGAAAAACTTCAAAAGCATACAACAGCGGGGACTGGCTAGTGATTGTTTAAGAGACGCTATGGATAGCTCTAGCTTGTTGTTTACTTTAAATCTGTTTTAATTGAACACAAAAGATAGCAAGCTGTACGTTAGCTTTGGTATAGGTTGCATAGGCTCAACGTTAAGACATTATGTGTTTTCGCGGCGTAGGCGTCGCACTGGTGTTCGGTGGCCCGCTTGCCGCATCCGAGAATGGCTTAAAATGGGCTTTCTCCCGCAGTTACTGTGGCCGATTCACTGTGTTTATGCCTCCGGTCCGCCGTCCAACTGTCCTGCTTAAATATAGCCCAGCCTTGCTCCTTAAAGATGTCGTGGAACTTGAACAGGTCGTTATGGCTATATGGAATGCCCTTCGCGTCCATGCACTCTGCAGCCCCTTAATGCGGGACCTTTTTGGTGTATCGATTTTGACAATACCCTTTCTTGAAATGGCGAAGAAGGTGTGCGCAAGATCTCTCGGTATTAATAGGGTGGTGGTGGAGTAATTGAACATTGAAGTTAGGATATTGTGGAGATGACCATTTGTTGGAGTGCGCGGCTTACGCGCTGGGCCCCTTCTTGCTCGGCGCGTGGCGAGCAAAGTCCTTTGACCCGTAATGACCTAATTTGCTGCAGGGCTCTAGGCTTACTCTGTGGCTTATTCTGTGGCTTCAGACTACACCCTTTCCAGAACATCCTGCACGCCTTACAGACTCTAGCGTCGCAGGGAAAGCCGGAAGTAAGATCAGATACAAACAGGCCTCTTCTTCTAGTGACGCACCACGATACAGCTAAGAAATTCTAGTAAAATGACAGAATATATGACAGAATGGAAACATGCTTGCAAATGTAGAAGCCTTTAGGCGCTCGATAAAAAAATATTATTGGGGGCCTTGTTGTGTGAGGAGGGCTCTCCACCATTAGCCTAGGTCTGGCTTTCTCGGCAACGCTAGAGCCAGAACATCTATCTCCGTAATCCTAAGTTGTAAGATTTGTCTAGGGTACAAATCCTACCCCCAAATTTAGCGGATGGATAATAACGGGATGGATCTCGTCCCTTTCTTCTTTCCAATGGTTTCCTGAATCATTCTTTCTGGTTCGCAGGCTGCTGCGCTACCTTTTCACGGTAGAGTACAGTACCGGTACTATGCTTATCCGTCCTAACCATGTGTCTTGCTGGCGGGCTGGTTTATTCGCGGGACTATGTTCCATTATCGCTCTTTACATCTTCTTCGCACGAGGTCACATCTCAACCCTCCAACCATTTCTCTCCGCCGGCTCTGCCTTTTCTGCGGACTACCAGATTAACCTCATCCCCTACTGGAAAGAGCTCGCGAGTTCCCTCGAAGCCGCGCGCCCAGTATGTCCTCCCATCAACGTCACGACCGAGGAAATGCCCAATGAGGATAGAAACTTTGAACCGCTCAAGAAGAAAGAGAGACCGGAACGATTGTTTCTGCCGGCAGAAGATGAGGCGGAGCTGATGCGTGCACATCGCAGTATGCGCGTCGCAGCCCGACGCCTAGCACCGCTATTACCAGTTGGAGACGAGACCGGTATCGTCACGACTGGCGGATTGAAATTATTCCCTGTCTTGCTTGTATCTCTACGCATGCTTCGGCGGACAGGATGTACGTTACCGGTTCAAGTTTTCCTCGGTGATCAAAAAGAGTATGAAGAAGTAAAGAGTACATGCGAGGATGTGCTACCGAGTTTAAATGCAAAGTGTCACGTCGTTGAAGATGTCTATTCGACAGCGGATGTTGCTATCGCGCCGCCAGAGCACTTTCAATTCAAAATCCTCGCCATTCTCTTCTCGTCATTTAGACATGTTCTTTTTCTCGACGCGGATGCATTTCCGGCACACGACCCAACACCTCTCTTCAATGTACGTCGCCTATCCCACAGCCCAAACCCAAGCTAACCAACGTTGCGCAATGATAGTCTCCACCATACACAACCCACGGCCTCGTAACGTGGCCCGGATTCTTCGCCAACACCGCATCCCCGCACTACTACCACATCGCAGGCATCGCCGTACCGCCACCAAACCGCGGCACAGAATCAGGCCAACTACTACTGGACAAGAAGCACCATGCTGAAAGTATTCCCATGATGGTATATTACAACTACTTCGGCCCGGACTACTACTATCCCTTACAATCGCAGAACGGCCCGGGGCAAGGCGATAAAGAGACGTTTAGCGCTGCTGCCATGGCAGTGAATGCGCCTTTTTACGGGGTGAAAACCCCCGTGTCAGCCCTCGGCAATCATGTCAATGGACAATACATATTCGCTGGAGCGGGCCAAGCAGATCCCATGCAAGATTATCTCTATGACCCTCCTTATCCAAACCACATACAACCCGAATACGAACGAAATGAGGAGAAGAACCAAGTTAGAGCCTTTTTCGTGCATACAGTGTCTCCGGAAACGAAACTCAATCCGCTGAAGCTTTTGCGCGAGGGCGGCGTGGCATGGGATGCAAATGGGGATTGGCATAGGATATGGGGAAAGGAGAAGAACGTAGTGGAAAAATTTGGGTACGATGTGGAGAAAAGGATGTGGGAGTGCGTGGAGGAGGAAGCTTGCAGGACGGATCAGGACGTGTGTATGGAGGTCAAGGCTTTCTATGCGAAGGTGTTTGGGACGATGCCGGCGAAATAGCGACAGGACTTGTGTTGAAGAACTGCGACTGCTTCACTGTTGTTCCTGCGTGGCCATCAGTCATTGCCTTGGTACAAGTGGGCTACTGGACGCGCTTGCGGCGCCGTTCCATCTCCTTGTACAGGTCTTTCATCGAGCACCACGGCCGTTGCACCTTGTTCGCGTCTTGCCAGCCAATACGTGGCGTAGGACCGGGCAGGAAATTCGTTGGAAAGCGTGCGTTCGGCACTAGAAAGGTCGAGGAGTGTTGGACCGGTATTGCTGTCCCGGTGCAGGACTAGAATGGCTCAAACGCTTGGAGTGGAGTGCGCGTACCCTCTGGCTAAGCGAGACAAGAGTAAGCATGCGATGAAACACTGGGTGGCGTGCAGAAAGCAGAAAAACTGCAAGTGCATGAGAGTGTATATGTGTCCGCGGCGGAGTCTTCCGACATAACGAAGTAATGTTCTCCCGACTGGCTCACCTGAGTAATATTGATGACAGCTGAATAATGTTCTTGGGTTGTTAATTTGATAGCTACATTGGTTACCAGCTTACTACATACAGTGGAAACAACGTGTTTGCACTAGCCGCTCGACCAACTAGGCGCTGCTGGTTGACCTTGAGAAGTGCGGAACGGAAGCGACTGATCTGCGCAGATGTCATTAGCCACGTCGCTTTCGTGATCGTTTCGTGAGAGACGGCTTCTTGTCGTGAGCGTGCCTAGCAGCATCAAAAAGTGGCTCATACAGGGACTGCAGATCTGCATTCTCACGGCATCGCCGTTTTGCCATCTCAACAGCTGTCCAGGCCATCTTGAGGGAGCCTCGGGATTTCTTTCCCCTGTGGGACTTGGGGCGCCAGTTTTCCCGTTTGTCGTATTGAGACCAGTATGGTGCTCTTGGTTTGGCCTTTCGGTTGTTGTTAGCAAAGTTGAGGTCTCCAACATTCCAAGTCGCCTTGGTGTCCAGGTTGAGGCCGGAGGCCAACTGCTTGATCATTGCGCCGTTTTCGCGTACTACCGCAATGTGCATGAGACTGAGTCCATCACTGAACGCAAGATTGAGATTCGCTCCAGGACGTGTCAGCATCATTCTGCAGATGTCTTCTGATCCAAATGCTGCTGCTGCGCCCAGGAACGAGTTGCCGCAGCTGTCTCGGCAGTTTGTGTCGATATCTTCGTTGTGCAGATGCAAGTGCGCGTAGTCGTCAGCGTGCCTACCTCTCAAGAGAGCTCGGAAAAGGGCTGCGTGCTTCAAATGGACAGGAGCGACCCCGATGATATCGGCAGCTACCTGGCTAGCTTTGATCCAACCATCGTCCATCAACATCTCCTTGTCAACTGTCATTCCATATTTTCTCCTGATTTCCCAATCTCTCTGGTCCTCGGTGTAGAGCCAGACCTTGTGATTCTCCCACCATTGCAGATAAGTGGCTATGGTGTACAGCCATGTTGCCTCACCGTTCCAGGCATCTTCGATATGAGCCTTGAAATAGCGGAACAGACGTGCAACCACCGGTATGACATCTGTAAGCTTCGCCTTATCTTGATATATTGTCGCCACCCATTCATGTACATGCCAAGTTATGCTGACAGTATGCAACCATCGAGGTATAGCTTCGTGAAGCACATCTGGGCGGCAATTATCCATGGTGTCCAGTACCATACTAAGCAGTGAGTACCACCTGGCTGCGCGTCTTTCGTACGCCCGCTTTGTCCACCTATCTGGTTTTCTCACAAGCCTTTCTTTCGACCATATCTTCGGAGAGGTCCTGCCCTTCTTTCTGTCGGGGCCCCAAATGTTATCGATATCGAAGTCACTATCACGGTCGTCGTCGTCGTCATCATCATCATCATCATCATCATCATCATCATCATCATCATCATCATCATCATCATCATCATCATCATCATCATCACTATCCTCGCTCTTATCGTCTTCATCATCATCACTATCCTCGCTATTACCGTCTTCATTATCTTCGTCATCCTCGATCTCAGATTTGTCGTCAGAATTACCTTCACTATTATTGCTCAAATCACTGGCGGTATCGCCAGTATCATCCCCAGTCTCATCCGAATCATCTTCATCAGTATCGCTTGTGTCCATTCATCTTCTTCGTCCTCCTCATCATCGTCAACGCTGTCGTATTTAGGCGCCCATAATCTTCGCTCGATATCTTCAACATCCATAGCGTACAGCAACAGGATACTCACAAACTGGAACAACGTCAAAGTATCGTCCTCCAGCGCATCCTTCTTTTGAGTGCCTCTGTATCGAGAAGAGCTATACATGGATGACAGAGCCCATTGCGCCTTGGTTGCCTTCTCTGGTTGCTCATCAATTCTGATCAATCTTGCCATGGTCTGTCTGAACTCTAACAGCGAATGGATGTCGCATCTTTCGAAAAGTTCCTTCGTATAGCGGAAAAGAGCTCCCTCGCTGGGCTCGCTGCCAAACCTATCCAAGAGAAATCTCATGCCAGGCTCGAATGACATGGTGTTGAGAATTGAGATACGGGTGCGTTTCGAACTCTCTCGTGTCCATCTCTCGGCATCGCTCTCGACGTGTTGCTTCCGCAGTATGAAGAGATGGTCTTGCAGAATTTCGCACGACATGATGCTGCCCTTGATTGCATCGAGCACTCGCAGTTCTTCACCCGTTGCAGATCCCAGGATGTGTTTGTAGTCCAGATCGTGTCGTATCTCAGCCCAAGCGTCCATCAGCACAGTACGAACTTGGATCTCAACTTGTTCGTTGTAATAACCTTTTACTCTGGCTCCCTCAAAGGGGTCTCTTCGTAGACGGACGGAATAATGGTCCGCCTCGTAATAGCCCATACGTTCCTCATACGGACGAGTCTCAGGATTCTTCGTTCGATATCCACGCTCGCTAAACACCCTTGCAGGTTGTTCCGAGCTGGCCGGAACAACCTCGAAGAGTTCGTGCGACTCGATGAAGGTCTTCACTTGGCTCTTCTGACATGGAAAATAGAGGCACACGCGCACACCCGCGGTATCCCATCGGACGTTCTCGAATGATGCAAGATCTTGACACTTCCCTTGCTTCTGCAGTCGCTCTACCTTACCCCTCAACGACTCCTTCGTTTTAACTCGGTATGTGGATGTCGAATGCACGACTGGATCCTGCTGCTTTAAATGTTTATCCAGCTCGGCTTTAACGAAAAGAGCAAGATCCTCCCAGAACATTGCGCGTTTCGAGAAGTTCTTCGCAATAAACTCTTCCTTAACTTCTTCGAGTTCCGAAGGAGTGCGAGGATGCTCTCCTACGGATGTGTCCATGTTGTGCAGCTCGGTCTGCTTTACATCCGATTTGACTCAATTTGAGGCGTATGACAAAAAGCTTGCTGGTGAGGAATTTGGGCAAGCAATGTAGATTCACTCAGCAGATGGTGGGGTATCGATCTCCGTACGTGCCCCGCACACTCCAGCAAGGCAGATGCAGGCTACCAGTCAGCACCACGTCAAGCCACATGCTTACTGGTCCCAACACAGTAGCCTCCATTGCTTATCCTCAGCCTCTGCGGTCAATCAAATCCTGCTGTCATCACGCTGCGCCATTCGTGTAATACGCCGCCCATGTGTGTGAACGGCTTTTTCATACACGTTGACCTCCTGTAGTTGGCACTTCTCATGCACTCCTAGAGAGTATTGCATCATCCCAATTCTGGTTCATTCTGTAACGGTTTAGACCTTGCCTGTGACCACTCTAGACTAGTACGAGTTGGGATAGCTAATGTGCAACCGGCTATACATGCAGCTTAGCCCACACCACGTAGTCAATTCAGCGCAGTCTTCCGCTTAAGATCTGCCGTCATAGAGTCTCTATGAGCTCGAGCTATTTTCACCGTGTTGCTGCACAGAGCCGGCGAAACCCTTGTCTCTCCGACCTCTGCGAATTTCTCCAACAGCCAACTCGAGCCCACAACCAGTCTCGCACAGTATGTATAGACATCTTCGAACAGCCTGTGCCTGTAACCCAGCGAGAGATTTTGGCAAATGATTTTGGCCATGAGCTGCGGAAACCAACAAATCAGCCAGAACTCTTAGCGCCCGATCACAGGGGCCGAATATTGATCATTGAAGATATCTCTAAACCTGCGTTGGAAGAGTTAGGGTCTTTCTTCGATATTGACCCTTGGTTCTTTGCTTCCTACGTGCACCAAACGTGGCGCAAAACCAGCACACAGAGTCCTGCAAACTGCTCTCTGCCTTCGCGCGAGAAGAAACAGAATTTCCTGCCGCTGCATTACCATAGGATTGTAGCCTTGCAACAGAAAGACACGACTCTGAGATCAGTAACACGTAATACAAACCAGCAACGCAAGGCAGTCATACTTCCGTCGCTAGGTGGAGAACGTATCGGTTTGGTGCAGCATAGTGCTTCAGTCATGTTAATAAATCCTCCTGGGCAGATTTGGACCGGTTCGTCGAGTCAATCAACGAGATGCTTGTACTCCCGCTAAAACCATATACAGCCATCATCCTCGTCGACCCGCCCATCAAAAACAACTACATCCCATCAAAACGAAATAGTCGGCTCCCGCCGAACCTAGATTCAAAAGCTTTCCTTGGCGGATATGAAGATTTCTCTGATATTAAATTTCCAGTCACTCCACGCGATACTGGAAATCACCACCATGTAGCTCAAGCATCTGATCGAGCGATGCTTGACGAGCTCGTCTACTACTGGACACACCAACGTCCTCAAGCCTTCGACCCTTCCGCCCCAGCGCTCCAGCACTTCTCCTACTACCCTCTTAAAATCGTCGCTGCCGAATGGGTAAACTACATCGCCGTCCTAGGCCTCAGTCTACGCGAATATGAACTTCGCACTTCGTTAACGGGCAACCTAGTTGCTGAGCTGGAATCTCTCAACACGAACCTCTGAATCCTACAGGGCTGGCGCCGCCGCATTCTCTCGACACAAGCTAAATTGCAGCGCAACATGCGCTTTATCAGAACGCGCTCAAATAGTTCTTCTACTGAGGGCTGGAAAGATCTGTTAGAAGATTACAAGCTCTTGGCAACCGAAGTGGCGAATTATGGCGAGAAACTGGAGGCTATGGTACCACTTGTTACATCTGCGGCTGCGCTAATTGAGAGTCGAAGAGCGTTGACGGAGACGGAAAACGTGACGCGGCTCACTGCGTTGGCGGTGATTTTTATCCCACTGAGTTATGTAGCGGCACTGTTCAGTATGGCAGACGCTTTTGCTCCAGGGGGGCAGTTGTTTTGGGTGTACTTTGTGACAGCAGTGCCTCTGGCAGTAGGGGTAGGAGTTGTTGCCAAGGTGGATGTGGTGGCTGTCGTGAGAAAGTCTTGGGAGAGGGTGAGACGATGGATGAGATCCGATGGTTCTCGGGTCGTGTCTCCATGAACAGTCGGATATGGTCAGCCTCGTTCGTATGGTATCTCTGCAATTGATATGGTGAGTTTATTAGTTCTCGCCCTGAACGATCTCTTCATAACTCGGGAGCGGAGAGACTGAAATAAAGAATTCATATAATGTTCCTAAATGCTAAATATATACCATCATTCACTCATCCTACATCTAATTGACCTTTGGCAAGCAACACAATCATCCCGCCGTGTAGTGTGGTCGCACCCAATCAAACAGCGAATCTTACATCCTATGACGTAGTCGTGATCTTGGCTTGGACTGCAACTTGCAGAATTGAACTTGGCGCAGCAGTGCAACGTCAAGATTCTCAAAGCTCAGGTTACCTTCAGCTCCCTAGAACAGGGTGTCAGCTTTCTCTTCATCGCATCCTAGTATAGATCTCTCAAATCATGCCACGCCGTCCAGAAGAGCCGTCAACGACAGGATATCTAGCACCTCAGCTACGACATCTGATTACCAGCGTCTTGAAGATATGGACCACCATAGCTCTGGGTGTAAAGTGGATCGCACTGTATGGTTCCTTCATCCTGTTGTATCTCCTTCGCCCTGTACGGAAAGAGACCCGAAGCGACGCTGAGCATGACCGCGATACTGGCCCAGCTGCATCACAGCACTCTTGGATCATCACTAGACTTTCAAGGATGCCATTCACCAAACCATATTCTTTCTGGGTGCCACTACTCAGCACAACGTTGATAACTGTTTTCTCCTTCCACATGCTGGACAGCCACTACACGCCCTTCGACAACACGAATGACTTCGCTACGGCGTGTCCCGAGGATGACCGTAGAACACAAACAAGCGCTTTCGTCAGACTCTTCGCCGCCACTGTGACCACCATGTGCATCCATGGCCATCTTAGCTCCCTTACAGGTTCGGATGCCTGGAAACGCGAATTCTTTCGCATGCTCGAAGTGCTCGTCAACCCCTTGGCTTCTCTTTTCGCCATGGCAGATGCTGTATGGTACGAGATTGCGAGCTCGTTACAGGCTACGCGGGACTCATGGGATGAAAAGTCAAGCATCAGATATAGGTTGGCTTGCATGTGCCGGATACGTATCGACACTGGTCAAAAGACGGACGCCATGAGCCCCGCCCCATATCTCATGTACATCAATCCACGCCACGTCAGCAGCAAGCTACTGGAAAGAGACTTGAAATGGTCGGGACGTGTGCTTTTCCTAGTCATACTGTTTGCGCAGTATGTCCAAGCGGCCGTCCTTCTTTCACGTCGCATCATCACCTATGCAGATGCTACCGTCGATTGCGCAATGATGCTCATGACCATCTCGGGCCTCGCTGCACTCACAAAATCCCTGGTCGCATCTCTCATCAATACGAAATGGATGCTCGCATCCGATTCTTTCTCGCCCTGCACAGCACGCGCTTGCTCGCTTCAACACTGCAGAACGCTCAAGACGGAATCCGACCTGCCTGACAAACCATTCCAGATAGTCTTGTTTGGCTGCAGTATCTCCGCTCTTCCGCGAGCCGTGCTACACGCACTTGCTGGTGCGAATTTGCAGCTGTTGCTTTTGACGCACAGGGCGTTCTCTCTGCGTTCAGTATTGAGCCTGACGATGTCCACGAAGTGGTTCCATGACTTCCTTATACTGCTAGTAATTTGTGCCGATTCTTGTAGAGGGCTGTACACGAAAAACGATGGAGACGAATCGCCACGAAACAATGAGGCGGACACTGCGCCGGTTGATAATACCCCACCCAAAGAAGTAACTACGGATGACGGCTGTTTCACCTCCACACTTTTTGGCGTAGGCATATGGATATTCTTGTTCTTTCATGGGTTAGGTGCTATCGTACTGGGGCTCGGCATGGCGGCGTTACAGTTGGGCAGACTCTTTGCCCCCAGTATACTGATGTTTCTTGAGATTGTGCGCGAAACAAGAAGATGGGACGCTTGGGATCCATCAAATCCATGTCTGGAGCTATGGAAAGACAACCTCGAAGATGAACTATGGTGGTTTTGAGAAAAGCCCGCTACAGCCAAACCATATTTTCCACCTCCCAGCATGCGAATATCAGCCCGTGGGAGTCTGGCAATCAACATCGAATATATGATCCCTCTCCACTATATGTCTTCGGAAACAGATGCATTATCGCAATGGCTGGAACCTCGCAACATTCGAAGCGTAGGATGTTTTCCTGCACCATCGCAGTAAGCTGAATTTGTGCATTGTCTTGTGGTATCTCAACTAGGTACAGAATCCAACCAGAAGATGCCCGGATATTTGGGAAGTCACCGGGGTAAATGCGCCTTAATTTCACTGTTCCTGGGCTCAATGTTAGAGTTCAGCATATAGCCTCCCAACACCAGTCAACTTCCTTCCATCACTCCCCTCACAATCTTCACTCATCTCACAGAAATCGTTCTTCTTGCCCACCCAGGGCCCAACCGTCTTTCCCTGCCCATTACCAAAGTATGCATACCGCTCAACCCACTCACACTCATCCAGCCACGGCAACGCTTCTTTCATAAACGCCTCTACCTCCTGCTCGCTGACCTCGCCATTCCCCATCGTAGAACATGCAAACTCATTAACCCACAGAGGCAGTTTGTAAGTACTATGCATATCCTCAAGGTATGTCTTGAAATCTGTAAACCGTGGGCCGTACCAATGTACGACCAGAAAGTCTACCTGAGCATCACCCTCCAGCTGCCCAAAAAACCGGTCAAGCCACGGTTTACTCCTTCCTACGTCACTGCTCACCCCAGGACTGCCCAGCTTAAGTCCGAATTTGCTCTTCGCTGGTAGAACAACCTCTCTCCACAACTTGACTGCTTCTTCAACGCTTAAATTCGCTTGATCCGGTATCTCAGGCTCGTTGAACCCCAGTAAGTAACTGACATTCGCTTTTTTGTTGCCGATGATGTCGGAGAGGAATGGCATTATATCTTTTGCTTGTGCAGCGGTGCGCACACAGGGTACCCATTCTATGGAGCTGGGAAGTCCCGGTGGAACCCAGAGCTCCCAATTGAAGAGCCAAGTTATCTTATCACAAGAGGTGTAAACGGGGAAGTGGAATGCCGGGTAGTCCCATGGCCAGCCAAGACCGCGTTTCGAGGGCATGCTTAGCAGGTCGTCGCGGCCTAAGCAACGACACAGCAGAAAAATGCTGCTACAAGCTATGGAGGATAGACTTAGTGATAGAAGCCACGGGCGCAAGCAAACAAGAATTTGCTTTACTGAGTTAGCATTCACAAAGCGCTATCGTGTTTGGGCAAAGAACTTGGCGCGGTTGAAGCGAGATGGGTGGACGGATGATGACACTTGGAGTTGCGGACTTGAAGGGTCTACGAGCGGATCACAAGCGCCAAGCAAAAGTGAAGCTCACGGCTTCGCATCACGAACGCCGACCTGCACCAACGCAACCGCTTTCCACCTCGATTGTCAACGCGTAGGCCAAGAGACATTGTACGAATAAACCCTGGGTTATTTCTTCCAATTGCCGAATACTCCACGCATCGATCGGCTTCGTGCACCCCGCCAACTTCACAATGGCTATCTTGGGAACGGCGCTGAACGGCATCGGCGCGCTCTTCCTCACACATGCGTACGTACACATGTAGCCCACATGGGATCATCTCCAGATCGAGGGACCTATGAGTATTACTGCCTCCGTCATGACGACAACTAACCATCACCAGCGTCTATTCCACCCACGAACACACCGCAACCTTTGCCTCAACACCCCTCCCGCTCGACATCTCGCTCGAACTCCTCACATCCATTCTCCTCCTATCTCTCGGCATCGTCATATCTTTTGCGCCGTTGAAACCGATACAATACGCACAATGGGCGGGCCAACTCTCGAGACAAGGACGACACGGAGAGGGACAGTACACAAAAGAGGGTGAAGAGATCTTGAGCGAAGGCGACCCTTATGCATTCTTGGGGCTAGATGGTGGAATCGCCGGGAAAGGCGAAGGCAGGAGGGGCTTCTGGGACGTTAAAGGGAAGAAGAAAGAATACGAGGAATGGGTTAGGCAGGGAGGCAAACAGTAGATGGGTGCGGACAGGGAGGGTCGATATGGGTTAAGAGGCCCGATTGGAAATGGGAAGTATGGAGCACAAGCGATGTGCATTCAGGTTGCTTGTCAAGTGTGCACGCCATCACGAAGCGATTAGGATTCGATACCAAAGACGATTGTGTGTCGACTACCGTTGCTTCCATCGTACATCGCCCAAATGCCCTGCCCAGATACTGTATACTGTTTGCGGAGAAAGACCAGAATCCCAAACGCCATGCTTGAACGAACAAAACCAAGCAATTGCTAACAATCTGTTCTCTCGCACCCTTCCTACATTTCCCGTCTCTTACGCGTCGCTCGTCAGCTTCTCCACCTGACTGCCCCCACAGTTATTCACCCTACAAGTCCAACACTCATTTCCCTCCATTTCCTTCCCAATCGCTGCGACATCCGCACTCCTCCTCCTAGGCCCCGCCTCATCCCCATTGACATCGACACCACTAACCCACCAAATCCCCGCCGCGATAATCCTAGCAACAACCTCCACTTCCTCCTCATCTCTCGGTGCATAAATCAGCATGAACTCTCTCGGAACAAACTTTCTACACCATCCCCCCCTCGCCAACGGATGTCTCTCCCCCCACCCTTTCTCAATCATAAGATTGGCATCGGCAGGATGCAGAGTCATATGCATGGACCCATCACTCGGGTGTGCATGACAAATCTCCCCTCCACACGTCCTCGTAATTGGCACACTGGTAAACAACCCCGAACTATGCTTCTCAAAACAACTTGTTCGTTCCAGTAGCTGGTTACGGGGATCCGCCGCAAGGCCCTTGATCTTGCTCACCAGACAACTGTAGACAGCCTCTCCACTCTTCTGCGTCTGCTGCCGCTGTGGCGCAATACCTAGAATCAACGGCTTTGGCCCTTTCCTTCCTGGCAACGCGTCGGCATCTACAAAATACCCTTTTTGCGGCCGGAAGTGCGGTGGTATCGCGATAGGGCGGAGGGGGTTGCGTAGGCAGATTAGCGACAAGAGTTTGATCTTTAGGTAGCCTAGGGGTGTTGCTGGGGTGCCGCCGGGACCAAGGGAGAGGAAGGCGCAGTAGTCGGCATGGATGTAGATGGCTGTTATGAGGGGGAGAGTGAGCGTTAGGGTTGCGATGAGCATGTGCAGGTGTGTTTCCGTGAACATGCTTGATTGGGGTGAGGGTATGGTGGGTTGTTGGAGGGCTGGGAGGAGGTCTGCTGTTGTGAGGTTGTTCGTGTCGAGCATGCCGACTGTCGAGGTGATTGTGGTAAACGGCAAGTACTTGGAGACTGTTGAGGTAGAAACGAGAGCCAGTACGGAGGCTCTTACAGTCCTCTCTTATGGATACAGCACCCTCTTGACAAAAGGATACGCAAGGAACAACAGCTCCGTGGCCCCAGTAGGAAGGGGAGGTATCCCCGCAAAAAAGGTCGGTGTACCACGCAAACGCAGGGTCCGCGGAAACTAGAAGAAATGACGTTGGATTGATACAATAAAGAAAGCTACTCCATCAATCTCAACAAACAACGTCAACTTTCGGTGATAGTTAAAACTATAGAACTGCGAAGCTCAAGAGCCTCAATGCTAAACGGTGGCATTCACCACACGCCTGGGCACACGCGACCCTTTTTATAAGCCCATTCCAAGATGCTTGAGCCACGCCCATCCGCAGCGCGCGACGTCAAGCTCTCTGTACCCCGTGGTCCCGACCGTCCACGTGCCTAGTCCTGCATCCGGTTAGTACGCACTCCGTTTGTGGGCCCCCGGGGTTTAGTGGCCGTCGCGCTAGGGTACTCATTGGTCCACCTCACGCGTGCCTGTGACGTTGAACCTAAATCAATTGCTGGCTTTTCGCTTCGCTTTCCTCTAGCCTTTTCTCCACACTGACAGCGCTCCTTCGTCACTGTGTCGTGGGTGCTCGTTTATACGCGAAGGCCTGGGCTTTCGTGTTGGGTGTATGTCTGGCTTGATGGAGGAGGGAAAGGGCGGGGAGCGGTATCCTAGGTGGTGAGGAGTGAGGGGATGCTGAGGTCAGCTGCGTTCACGTGGTCTTGTGCATGCTTGGTTCCGAATACGCGGCAGCTTGGAGCTGACTCTGAGACGCAGATGGCTTCGTGTGTGTTCTCCTTCGTCAAAACATATCTTTGTCGTGTCGGTATTGCTGCTTGGATTGGCTGTACCTCAACAAGCTATGGCCAACGGCTTGGTGTCTCGATATTTGACGAGCGAACCAGAACCTTTCCAGAATGAGATGATGACCAGGCACCTCCCTAGCTTTGCAGCATCAATACCCGCTAGTTCACGATAGCTGGTGTTGGCGTTGTTCAAGGGCACCGTGCAGCATGCAGTGTGATCGGAGGAGCGGTGATGCGTGGCGCGCTGTGAGCTCTTTGCTTAATCGCCGAGCTCGGAACCTGGATTCTTGAACACGACTGAAAGGGCACGAAAGCTCATCTTTGGAATAATCCAAAACGATTCCTTCATGAGTATTGTGCTCGCAGCTAGAAAATTGGGCCGCGCAAGCAACTACATCTCTCTTTTGTACTTACACCCACGTTTATATCGCATCAGCCTAAGCACCAGGAACAATTGGGTGCGATGCGAGAATATCTTGGTCTGTAAACGACGGAAACATTATAACACTTCCTAGTATCTGTATGGCAATGGCATGCGAGCTTGGACCGAAGCATAGTACGAACCAGAACCTGCATTTCGCTTTCAATGCAGCTTCAAAACAGCGACAGTATGCCACCAGGAGACTATGCGCCGAGATTGATACTCAAAACGAAGAAGGCCTCCTAATATATGGTGAGGCTCTATTACATCGCGTTGCCAGCCTCTGGTCAATCTTCCTGTTCTTATTCACTACTCTCCGAACCACCTTCCGACTTGCTTGTCCCCTAAGTTGTCATTATCGTTGTCCAAATCGGTCTCACCATCTAAGTCAAAGTCCTCAAAATCCTCATAAACTTCCCTATGGACCGTAAACTTGATGTTCCTCCTGCAGGTAAGCTTCCAACCCTCGACAGTCTGTCTAGAGACTCCCTTTCCAGTGACAATGAGAAGCTGGCTGCTTTCGTAAAACTTTCCACGAGAAAGCTTGGCAGATATCAACTTGTTGAAATGATCGACAGCCATATCTGTCAGAAAAGACTGGACGAAGGTAGGACCTTGATATTCGAAGGAGCACAAACAAGCGTTGCAGGCACACTCTTCAAACCATCCGATCCAGAGTAGAGGGTACTCACGTAGGACCGCAGCGACCGCAAGCATATCGAGTGAGTAACTTGAACACCAGTACACCTCCACTTCCAGGTAGCAACGAACATCCTTGAGGGCCGAGTTGGGGCAGCGAACAAAGAAGTGATGTAGGAAGTCATTAAGATCCTCAAAGTCGAGGCTGAGATTGCTCCGAAGGACGAATAACATTGCGAACTCGGAGTGAGTCTGCTTATGGACGCAAGCTAGGTTAATGGCGTCTTTGACTGATGGCATGAGATCGATGAAGTGCTCGTAGATAGCGTTGCGCAGCTCTGTAGTCTCGTATCAGCTTGCGAGAACTGGGTATTGTAATCGATAGAGCAAGTACCCCCAGGCAAGTCGAAGAACGAGATACCGCCGCTGAGGTTCCTGTCACTTTGATTGTTAGTATAAGCTCATTGAGACTGGTGTGCAGATAAGGTTTACTTGACTGCCATGGTGGTCTTGTGAAATTATTCCTCGTGTAATACTTAGAGGAGCAGGCAAATAAGTAAGAAAGACTGAGATTAAGTGCAGCTCAAGCTTTTGTTGTGGGCAAAAACGCGCTTGTCAAGGTCGGTGCCAAGGCCGCGCTAAAACGTCGAGGTGAGAGTGAGGAAGGAAGAGGACCAAAGATGGACGAGAGTACCAACTGAATTCTCAAAGAAGCAAGTACGGAAGACGTGACTTGCGTCACCAAGATTGCCTTCACATGATGGAACGAAACTTTGGAATCATAATAGTTCGTTACGTGGTGTTTACAATCACTATCTGCACATCTCTTGAGATCAATAAGCTCCTTCCCTCTTCTCATACTCACTTCCCATAACAGTAGCGACGCTCTTCATTCCACTCCAAATCTCCGCATCAACCTCCAACTCCAATCCATCCACCTTTGTACTTCCACCATCCAGACCCCAAAGACTGACGCCCAAGTAATTGGTACCGTTGTAGTTCAAGATACCCTCTGTAACAGGGAACTTGACCTGCGGGCCCACATTACTAACGTACTTGCCGTACTGCCAGCCGTTGACGTAGAGCTGGACGCGGTAGGCGGGGACGCTGGAACCAGAAGAAGAAGAGTTGCTGGAAGAAGTGCCGTTTGTGAAGGTGAAACTGAGGGGGATGTCGTAGCCAGAGGGCATGTTGAGATCGAATTCAGTGGCGAAGAAACCAATGCCTGGGGCGGAGATGCCGTCGGCAACTGGGCCGGCGGAGGCTTGCCATTTGGCGTCTGTTGCTGTGAGAGCACCGGGGAGGTGTAGACCCTGGCGTTCAACGTACAGGCCGCCTTCGTTGAGGGGACCTCGAGAAATATCGCGGTAGTCTTCTCCGCCGAGGTTACCAGTGAGCTTCCAGACAACATCGGAGGCGTCGTGGCCAGATAGTTTGTAATCCAGGATACCACGCGGGTTCTTCATGGTTTCGGTTCCAATGGTCCAGTTCTCGTCTAGGCCTTGGTTGTCTACGACGACCGTGATGGTGTATGTCTTACCCTTGGTCAGGTTGGGCATGGTGAACGTGGCGTTGCCGTTCATGGCTGCGTCGTAACCACGCCATGAGCCGAGGAATTGATCGCCAATCCACGCAGAAGAACCGAATGCAGAACCACCTTGCGTCGAAAGGTAGAATGTTGATTCGTTTCCAGATGCGGTGAATGTGCCGCGGAAGAGCAGAGTACCGGTGTGGTAACCGTAGTCCGAGCTGTATAGCGACACAGGTGTAGTCAAGGGACGCAGAGAATTGTATGTCTTCTTCAGGTCGGCTGCAGTCCACTCGCTGTCGTCGTATCCGGGTTGCATCTCAGGTAGTGAGTCGACGAACTTCCATTCCAGTTCGCTGAGTTTGGGGATGCTGATGTCCGGTTTGGCAAACTCAATGTCGGCGGACAAGGTTCCTTGTTCGGAAGTGGTGAAGTCAATGTCCTTTCCGTTGAAAGTCATCTTAGACACTTCTGATGATGCGCCACCAATGACTTCGACCGTGGTTGTAGCGTTAATATCGCCAACGAGGGCAATGGTGTCGCCAGTAACCTTGGCAGTGCGCATTAGGTAGCCTGCCTTGACAATGACAGGGTTAGAAGAGTCATGAGGTGCTTGGTCAATAGCCCAGTAGTTGAAGGCCTCGCCACGATCGAGCATGTAGACGTAGACGGGGCTATCAGCTCCAACCTTCGCGATCTTTCTGGTACCATCGGCCTTGAAGTTCAGGATTGTGGTACCCTTAGCAGTGGTGCTCGCGACATCGCCCTCGACAACCTCAAGTCCGGTGACATCGAGAGCCAGTTCGTGAGTCTCTCCTGAACCACCGTAGACGACTAGAACAGTCTTGTCGTCGTACTTGTGCCAAGTAAATACTTCAGCAGTAGAGTAGACCAGAGTGGCACCGCCGATGTCGTAGTCGCTAACATGGACCTTGGAATCACGGCCGTTCAACGTAAGGGAAGTACCGTTCATCTGAGGTACAGTGATATTTCCGAAGATAGAGGTCGTGACGTGAAGCTTGTAGGTCGTTGATTCCAACGAGTTGTACTTGGAGTGCCTCAGAAAGTAGAATGTAGTCTTCTCGTTGGTCGCAGGAGTGACGCTCAAATCGGTGCTAGTTGTCCAGGTGGAGTTTGAAGCATTGCCGCGCGCAGCAGTGAGATACGCAGGGCTCACCTTGAGGAAGTTGGCCTGGAGTTTAAGCTCAGAATACTTCTCGCGGTCAACTTGACGGTCTTCCTTGATTGGCGCAGCGTAGTCGTAGCTAGTGTAGCCACCAGGGTGACCAAGGTTGCCCCAGTTGGTTCCACCGTAGGTCATATACAAGTTCAAGATCGTAACGCCAAAGCTGTATAGTTGCTTGTAGAATACGCGGTTGAACTCCGCGCCGACTAGAACACCGCACTTGTCAAAACCTGGCCCACCCCAAGGGTCGAAGCTGCCAGATTGGAACTCTACAATAGAGTAAGGAGTAGTAGGACTCTGCTGCTCGTGAAGCTGATGCCAGTTCGTTGGAAGGTTGCCATCCGGCCATGTGGTGGGGTTAGCACAATCAAACCCAAGAGGATAGCCATCATGGCCGTAAATGTCAACAGCTGCAGGTTGACCGGGTGCGTTGTTTCCCTTTGCGGAGGCGTCGTTGCTGATCAAAGGTACAACGATACCGGCGTCGCGAATCTGATCTTCAACGTATTGCATGTAGACTGGATCCGGGAAAGGCTTGATGGCGGAAGTAGCTTGCGTGTACTCGTTTTCTGGCTGGATAAGGATGATAGGGCCGCCCTCAGTGATTTGCGCCGGCTTGATCTTCGCCAGCACATTCTTCATGTAGTTGTCGGTCGCTTCCAGGAAATCGGGAGCGCGCGTTCTCAGTGTGCCGTTAACCCTCTGAATCCATCCGGGGAAACCTCCACCAGATACTTCAGCATTGATGTAAGGTCCCGGTCTAGCAAGGAGATAGATGCCAGCCTCCTGCGCAGCGTCGAAGAAAGGTTGTAGGTCAAAGACACCCTCTTCGCGGTAAACACCGGGCTTGCCCTCAAGCAGAGCCCAGTCGACATAGAAGGAAACGCCGTTGTAACCAAGAGCCTTGATCTTCTGAAAGAGGTCGGCGTAAAGGTCAGGAACTGGTAGTCTGAACGGGTGAACTTCACCAGAGTACAGGAAGATGCGTTCTCCATGAACGAAGAGCGAGTCTTCGTCCCAGGTGACCTACAGACATGGTTAGTCACGACCAATTTCAGATCGACATTTGAACCTTGCCACTTACGATATCTTGTAAAGCCTCCCTCTTGTACGGCTTGATGAATTCCTTGGGCGAATATCCTACAGCCCTAGCCGCACTCTCGACAGCAAAACACCCGAGCGCAACCGCACCACCAAGCTTTAGAAAGCTCTTCATGTTGACCAGTATGCGGAACCAAAGGTCAAGTAGCTTGTGGAGTTGAGCAAATCCGCGGGAAAGCAAGCAATATAAACAAATTTCCCCAGCCTCCGAAGCTTTTCATGGTTTGCATGTAGCCGACCGGCATCTTTACTCGTTCCCGTCGGACGATGACAGCATCTCGTGCCATCACGTTCCGAGCGCATTTGCCTTTGTTCCCCCTGTTCCCCCAGTAACTTTTCCCCGGTTTGCCCCCATGTTGGGCATGCCAAAGCCGTGCCATTTCAGCCGGATGAGTAACCAGGTCACGCAAGATCGACCAGGTTGACCGGATGAGTAGCCGTAGTGATACTAGTCCAACCAGCATCGAAATACGCAAGTACCGATTCCACCAATATCGCTGCATGGAAGCTCGTTAAAAGTCTTTAGTGCACGTATATGCCCGCATCTCGGATGGCGCAGGCGGGGAAGTATGTCCGATGAGCGCCATGACCGTTGCCCAGGCGGTGCAGAGTGTTGACGATCAGTGGGGTTAGCGCTGGGGTTAATGCTTGACGTCCTAGCCTCTTCGCCGTGGATGCTTGCGGAAGCTTGGGTCAAGTTCGTCGACAACTTGTTCCGCCCCTACTTTGGGCAAGGCATCCGCACCGTGATGACGACGGACATCGGCATAATAGATATTGACTCGATTGTCGGTTCTTGGAGCAGGAAAGGTGCGGATGGCATGACTAGTGTGGGGATGGTAACGGGCTGAGATGATGATACGAATGTGGAGAGATTTACCGAGGTACATTGGTTTTAGGCTGACGTAACAAGGGTCTGATCGTTGCGAGAAGCAAGTGCGTGCATACTCCATAAGTAGAATCGTACTGTGGTTTTCTTGCTATCGAGAAGCTTCTGTAGGGGCCTCGTGTAAGGCAAGGAATAACGAATTTGAAATAAGACTACCGTTCTTCGATTAACGTACCTGGGAACATGAAATCAGGAAGTACCTATCCTAATTCAACGAGCGTGCCACCTAACCATCTGACATCAGTGAAGGTGCACACAGAGTACACCGTGCGGTAGTCGGTTACTGACCTATTGCCCAAGGTCCGTCGATATGTTGTATTATACGTGCATATGCATTTGTATCGCTCAAAGCAACCAAGCCAACGATTTGCCTGCGACCATCTCTACGCACACTACAACGTCGCGCATGTTACTGCATGCCGTCTCAAAAACAATTGCAAGACAACGACTGCCTATAACCCAAGAACTCCTGTGCATGGTTTCCTGTCGCCATGGAAAGCTGGCACCCAAATAAGACCACCACCAAGAATTGCGCCTCAGAACCTAAGATGAGAAACTTGAGAACAAAAGGCTGATCAGAAATGCTAAAAGCCGAGCATCGCAAAAGAAAAATCTACCAATTCGTCAATGCTGGGCCTCCTCTAACCCCGTTTACTGCGGCGGATACGACGAGAAATTCGGCGCACCATTTGGATAATAGTTCGCGTTACCGCCAACAGTCTGGAAATTGGAAAAGTCCATAGTCGTCGACCAGTCATAAGCCTGGTCATTATCGCTGATCATGGCTGGTCCAGCCCAGCTGTTTGTGAAAGTTTGGGCCCCGTCAATCTCCATTGCCATCCTAGCCGCATGCAATTCATGTGGTCTTGCTGTCTGCCAATCCGAGTAAACAGCATGTATGGGAACGGATGCAGTGCCTGACAAGTGATCTTGATTGGGGCCGGTCTCGAAGCTGGCTCGTGCTGTAGGTATGGTGTGCTGAGGTGGGTTACCGTACTGATATGATGGGTAGTTTGGTGGTGAAGTGTGTGCTCCGGAACGTAAAGCAGTGTTTGAGTCATAAGACGGCGTATTCGTCTGATGCGTATATGTAGGTGCATGAGTAGGTGGAGATGTCTGGACCCCATTTCGATTGACGGCGGTGAAGGAATTTTGTAATACAGGAAGCTGGCTAGATCTCTCATCAGGCATTCCTTGCTTTTCATGCTTGACTGGAGCTGTACTGGCAGGCAAGATACGTTCTGCAGAGTCCTCATCATGCGTCAATCTAACATCTGCAAGATCTTTATCTTTGTTGGACCATTGGCTGTTGTTGTCGTTTGAGATGTCGCCGAACTGCTTGTGAGACTTTTCGAAGAATTGTGCGTAGTCTTTTAGTCCACCACTAGCGATACCATCGCTAGAGTTGCTCTTCGGAGAATCGTCGATTTGCCCAGTAAGCTCTCTATACTTCTTCTTTTCACGACGATAATATCGCTGCCATTCAGCGAGTTGAACAAGCCACGAGCGAGCCATCTTGAAGCGCCTCAGAATACGGAGTAGAAAGCCATTGGCAATGTCGTGGGCTCTAGGACTCAAACGGGATGACAGAACGCTGTCGGGATCCATGTGAGGAAAATAGTGGCAGTAGATAGCTGGACTTGTTAGCGATAACCAACAAAAGGGCCTAGAATATACTTACTGCCTATTCCTACTGCAAAACAAGAAAAGGCTACCGTAGGAGTTTGAATCAGATTACTATGAACTCTCGAAGTTTCAATGGTGTGGAGCAGATGCGTAAAATCCAAGCAGGCTTTCCAACAATCTTTAGCTTGCTTTATCCAGTACTCCGGATCTGGAGGTTTCTCGTCGATCAGTGGCTCATCTAATGGGCCGCGAGGATACGCTAACGTCCATGGTGACGTAGGCATATACTCTCTGTAAAGCCAAACGAAACACAACGTGTACATGGCGTGTATCGATACGTACTTTCCAGGTTTGTTGTATATACGGTCCTCAGTGTTGTCTTGGGTTAGCTGGAGATGGTCAGGTAGGTCGCGCTTCAGCTGCTTGAGTTTATCCTCCAACTTCTTGAAACTTGTCGTTGAACGCCATGGCGGAGTTTTGCCTTCTTGTCTATGCACTGTCAGCGAGACGTCTCAGGGATGTTTTTTACATGGCGCATACCTTCGGCCCCGTTTGCAGGACCATTGCGACACTTCGCCGAATATTACGACAGCTTTGATGTACCAGGTGAGTTCTGCCTCGTGTTCACCTATCTCCCACTTGCCCCCGTTCAGCGGATCAGCTTGATCAGCACCATTCTGCTCGTTGCGACGGCACTCAGTATGCTCATTCCACCGCTTCCTCCGTTCTTCATATGCAGCATCATCTTCGCCCAAAAGTCTTGTCCGTGCTTTCCTTCCGAAGTTGAACGCGCCATCGCTACAAACAAGTTGCGTTCTTTGAAGTTGGTCGGGCGTGAGCATCCTTGGCCGATCCTCTCCCCAGCTCAGATAGCAATCCATAAGACAACAACTCCAAAATGTCCGTCGCTGAGTTTCGCGCAGGATGAATTGATCCTTCTCGGAAAGGCCCTTCTCACTATCTTTCAATGGTGCAGGCAGTCCCTTGTCATCGACGTCTAAGTGTGGATAGCCCAGGACTATGGCGCATCTGATAGCAAGACCGATCTTAATCCAGCCTTCGGTACCTTGCAGGTTGGTCCACTCGTAGTAGCCCAGCATGAGCAGTGTTTGGATCTTCTCGAGAGTTGGGAAGCCGAAGGCTTCTGTACCCATCTGCGTACGCGTAGCCTGGGCATAAAACTCAGCGGTCTTGGTAGGGTCATTTCCGGTCTGTTGTACGAGCTTTTCGTGGAAGCGAGCAGTCTGAGTAAGGAAGGCTAGCAATAAAGGGGGATATAGTTGAGGCGATTGAGTCTTGGTTGGAGTTTTGGCATCAGACGGGCTATCGGTTGATTGCGGTTGCTGAACTGAGCTCAAGAAAGTTCTCTTGTGTAAGAAGGGAAAGTCAGTAGAGAAGTGCTTGTCGTAGATATCGAACAACTCCTCCCAGACTTGGGGCGTAAGTAAAGGCGACTGGAGAGCATCCTCATATGTACCCAGCCCTTCTACTGAGCGCTGTGCTGTAGTTGATGAGGGTGCTAGCAGCTTGCGCCGCTTCTTGGGAGGGGCCTGGGAGTGTCAGCACTAGCTCACGTGACTTGGACCAGCACATGTATTCGGCGATGGATATATGCAAGCACAACAGCTTTTGGAGCATTCAGAGGGACGGCTTACATCAAAATCGGCAGTGCTTTCACGGCGCACCGATCCGGTGGTGCTTGCGACAGCTGCGTGGTCCCAGGTGCAGTCTCGGTTGGTGTTGGCGCAAGCCTTGCACGTGGTACCTTGACCGGTGTTTTCGCACTTGGTCTTGCTTCGGCGACATCTGGTGCATGCAATCTGCGAGCGCATGCCTCGTTTTGCTGAGGGTTCAGCAATGCCGCCGGCGGCATCAAGAGGTCCAGGAGTCTGCTGCGGAGACGCCTTGACGGTCGATGGTGAAAGTTGGGTTAGGGGAGATTGAAGCTGCTGGTGCTGGCTGGGAGGAGATGGTGGCCGTTGGGGCCCTGGCGGTGGTTGTTGTGGGTAAGCAGGCACTGCAGTTAGCCGCGGTGCATTCTCTCCGGTCATGGGAGGATGCGCGACGGCGCCCAGCTCAGGCGGTGCGCGAATTTTGGCGATGATTCCACGGGGAGTTCAAAAAAAGGTGGGCGACAAAAGATGGCGATGGTTTGAGGCTGCGCGTGTGGTCGAGTCTCTTCGGGTGATGTTGCTGCGATGTGCGGGCCGGAGAGATGGCTATGGTAGCCGGAAACGCCAGTCCAGGGCTGGGGCCGACGATTACCAGAAGACTTGTGTAGATGCAGATGCAGGCAGGCAGTGTTGCGCAATCGTTTCGTACTCCAAGGTCCGGAGCAGCACAATCTGCGGTCGCTCGGATCGTGGTGTTCCAGCGTCGGTGCTGTCTGGCCTCTGATGAACGACGCTGCGGGCACACGGGTATTAACGTTGGACTTTCCCTTCCGACGGGACGAAAGCAACTTGGCGTTGGTCCTTGCAGCACTGCCATAGCATACCTAGGTATTTAAGCGATCGCTTCATCCGACAGACTGCCAGTCACCGCGATCTCTCTGCTGGTCTGCCGTCATGAGCTTATGCTTACCCTTCTAATGTAGGCCACTCGCGACGACTCCCCAGCCATCGGCCGCCGCGCGATTGTAGCAACGAGTTTACAGTCTATCGGCGGCCCGGGCAGAACCACTGCTACATCTCCACATCCCGTCTGGTCCGAATCTCGCAAATGCCCTCATCTCCTGCTTGCTACAGCATGTGAGCTGTCGCACACAGAACAGGCGCTGACACGTGGGCGGGCTTGCATGCAGTAGTAAGGTGTCGCAGAGCCTTGAAGCGCACGCACAAATACGCCCAGTCGATCGCGTTTGGCTGTAAGCCAGCCGCCTCGCCGTCACCTTACTCTAGTCTTCCAGAACCATGCCCATCATCGCCAGCGCATGTCCCCCATGGTGGTATGCAAGGCTCCGAGCGGTGCAACATCTTCACATGATGCGAGCTCTTCGTCTATCTATTGCCCCATCGAGTTGACTACGCATATCGCTTCCTATGATATGATCTGACCGTGTTGGCCGGTAGACGTAGCCTCGTTGTCCTACTTCCGCGGTCTGGAAGCGGCATCAATCTCGATCACTCGGCCTTAGCATTTGCCTCGTTGCCGGAAGGATCATCAACATGCGCTCGGGCGACTCCGCATCTTAACGACGTTGTAGATGAAAGAGGGTCAGGGATTCACGACTACCCATGGTACGCCGCACTTGTCTGTCAGGCCAGATGGGACGTTATGCCCCTCGCCACGGTTAGCGAACTATGTTGCGCATGCGCATGCGCCCAAGTTCAGCCTGACATTGATGAGTGAGATGATCTGCAAGCTACCTAATCTGGACTCTGCTTGATCGGTGTAGAATCTTGCGTTATCTGCCATCGGGGGATTAATCTCGCGCCCGTTGCGCCTTTAAAACCGCAATACATGGAGCTTCCCAGGTGGGTTTGAACACGTGATTTTTCTATACCATGTCTATGCCAGGGAGTGATTAACGTACTTTCCTTGGTTACACAAACTTTGAAGAGTTACCGACTATCTTCAGCCTTATGCATCTGGTATGCCTCCAATCCCTGAATCTTAGGTCCGGAAACTACCACGCCGGTCAACTTCCTCTTCGAGTAAACTCCATAGAAAGCGCTCGGACCGCGTCCAGCCGTCTGGTCCACAGGGAAAGGGCGATCTTGATGACGTGAGTCTAGTCATGTGGTCTTGAGTCGTCCGATGGCAGCGTCGCTTTTCGAAACTGAGTCCTTCGTATTGATGTTGGTAAAAACATGACTGAGAACAGCAAGGAACTTCACAGTGGGCGCCTTCGCCTCGTTCAACTGGGGTTCCGATAGAGAAGGGATGACAGAAGAACGCGTGACTGGAGCAAGCTTATTGTGAAAGCGTGTATCGTCAAACCGGCAAACTGGATGGCGATGTTTTCGCTTTATTACAATTAGCTGACTCACAGTACTAAGACGGAACGAAGATATCTACGCCTCGGCGAAGAAGCTCTTGTCAGCGCGGCGAAGTAGACTTGTTTATTACCGATGACGGGGAATTTTGCTGTTATAGCTCATACTACGTCCTTTCTCAGCCGTCACTCATTAAATGACATCCTTCCAAGCATTCACGCCCACATTCGCCCCAAAAAGGTCTCGTAATCGACTCATATCCTACCACTTCTCAATTGCAGGCCTGAGATCGATCTCCCATGTAAAGTTCGTCTTGGGCTGTGTCTGAAGCGTAGTTAGTATGAAAGTACTTATACACGTAGAAAGTCGACTCACATGCAACCACCAGTAATCATTCGCAATCTACACTTGATTAGCCTTTCCCCTTTTCTACCCATCGAAACAAGTATACTCACCGCGTCGGCACTCAGTTTAGCCTCGGCAGGCATATCTTTCAACCACTCCCTCGTCCTCGGAATATCAATAACCCCATCGATAATCGCATGCGCAACATGCACGCCCTGAGGACCAAACTCCCTTGCCAAACTCTGGCTCAGCGCTCTCAACGCCCACTTGCCGGTTGAAAAGCTCGCCATCTGCGCATTGCTCTTCACGCTCGCCGTTGCGCCCGTGAAGATGAGACTAGGCGGGTGTTCCGAGCTCCCCACCCCTTTGAGGAGGAGCGGGAGGAAAGATTGCGAGAACAAGATGCCGCCCATGGCAGAAACATCGAGACTAGAGGAGAATGTCTCGGCTGGAATCTCCAAAAACGGCTTCCGCATAAAGGGCCCACTGGCGTTGAAGATTGCTGCTGCAGCGGCGACGTCTTGGCCGAATTCTTGCTTGATGCCTTCCACCGCCTTGGCTAGACTGTCCTTAGACGAGACGTCGGTGCTGATACCGATTGCTTTACCGCCAGCGCTGTTGATTTCCTTGGCAAGGCCCTCGTAGTTCTCTGGTTTACGGGCGAGCAGGACGACGGGGTAGTGCGATGAGAACTTGCGGGCGACGGAGGCGCCAGTTCCAGGGCCAACACCGGCGACGATGGCGATGAGCTTGGAGAGTGGCATTGCTGGTATGTAATTATTTGGCGGTATTGTTGTTGTTGTCGGTGTTGATGTTTGACAACGAGAAGATGGAGTCGAATTGGTATCTGATATGTGACGACCAGGGACCTTGACAAATCGATCCTATTATACTTGTGCACTTTTCGCGCTTCTCGCTCTTACACGCCTCAGTACCTTGGAAGTAATGTTTAGTAAACTGGTAAAGTCAATGTTTAGTCAACTGGTAAACTACCAAATGGTGTCATGGCGGTTCCTGATTGCATAACTGCGGAGTTACTAGAGCGCGAGGTGCGTCATGATTAATAAGCACCCCTCTTCCACTTGCTCACTATTCTTAGGTGCGTACTTGCGGTGCATACATATTTTGGACGTAACTTCGTTGATGCATTACTATGATCTTTGATCTATGCAGCTCCCCTGTCTCATGACAAGCTCATCTACGCCCTGCCCGCCCTACCTACCTGTATCATCTCCCCAGTAGGTTTATCGTCACTCCTAAGAACGGGCCAACTAGCTCCATCCGCCTTGACCAGGGTCATCTCGAGCTTGGTGCCTAGTATTCTGAACTTGCTCTCTTCAGGTTTGATAGTCGAGAAGAGGGGAAACTCGGTCTGGTAGCGCTTGCTATCTGTAGTGGGCAAATCGAGTTTGACATGCTGTGGTTGGAAGTCGATGACGGCGGTTGCCTTGTCGATTTTCTTGAGGTAGAGGGAGGCGACGACTGAGGTTGCGGTTTGGTAGTAGTCGTGTCTGTGTGTGTGCATAGTTAGTGACTGGTTTTGGAGGCGGATGTCAGGAAGAGGGAAGGGCATAGGGAACGTACCGAACCGTCTCCAGCTTCTCCTCGCCCTCCTTCTTCTTCCCACTACCGACGAAGAGATGTCTGTCTTTTGTCTTGCACCCCTCGATCTTCATAAACTGGTCAAACTCCATGACCCTCCTCTTACAGCAACTCCACCCCTTGCTGCCCTCGTGGAAGATGGGCGCGCCAGGGTGATGCACACAGCTCTCTCCTTCCCGATTGCCTCCTTTGTGCACAGCGCCGCATCCTTTCCGCCTGCACGTCATGCCCTCCTTGATCTCCAGACTCGGGTCGTCGTCTTCAGACTCTGGCGGCGGTGCGGGCGAAGCCGATGGCTTGGGCGTAGCTTGTGCGGTAGGTAGTCTCGGTGCAGGCGCAGGCAGCGATTCCTCTAGCGATCCGAGGTTGACTTGGGTGCCATTGGGTACGTCTGGGGCCTGGACGGGTTCTGGCTTGGGGGTGTCGTCGACGTCAGAGTGCTTTCCCTTTGTGCAGGGCTCGATTGCGAGGAACTCGTCAAAGGTCAGGACGCGAGGCTTGCAGCATTCCCAGCCTGCATCGTCATGTCAACATGTTCCTGTCTTACTCGGCGTGTACTGGGTTGTGCTGACCTACCTTTCTGCCCCTCATGGAATTTCGGTGGGCCGGGATGGTAAACACACTCCTCGTTGTCGTCGTCGTACGTCTTGCCGCAGCCCTTGTGAACACACTTCTTCGCCATGGTATCGGTTTGTGCAGAAACGCGCCTAACGAGGGGTGAGTGTTGCGATGCCCCAGATTTTGTTCCGCTGTTTCGGAATATTCTGGAAATCAGCCAGAGCGGTCACCGATGTCATTGGGGTCCAAGCGCGAGCTTAATCCTGGGCCTTGAGCTTTGCATCTTTGGCGTCACGTCGCGTCCACTCGGTCTTGCCTGTCTGTCTTGTACGCCCAAAGCAGTCGTTACCGCGTGTGTGGTTGTCAACCAGTCGCCAACATGTTCCGCGCCACTTCCCGTCTGCTCGCTTGCCGCATCACCTTCTTCACCCGAACCCCATGCGGCCTGTGCGACACGGCAAAAGCCGTCGTCCAGAATGTCAGGGCGAAAAGACCCTTCGAGTACGAGGAGATAAATGTCATGGACTCCGGCCACGAAAAGTGGAGAAGTCTGTACGAGTTTGACACTCCGGTGGTAAGGAGACCCGAACACCAACGATATAATATTGCCATGCGCAGAGTACCTGAGTGTTCAACTAGATCCACATCGACAAGGCCGAAGCTAAGGAGACGAGCACATCTTCACTGAAGCTTATGCATCGTTTCAAGGAAGACGAAGTAACCAAGGTCATGGACCAAGCAGAGCGATCATGAGGACGACATCGCGTACAAACAACTCTTTTGATACACCTAGCCCCACCATGACTTTTCGCGCCCCGCAACTCCAGATCGTCTCCGACATTCACCTAGAAAATCCCATCACCAATCCGCAGTACTTACACACCAAGCTCAACGTCACCGGCAATGTATTGTTCCTACTTGGGGACATTGGCCTAGTCAAGCACCATGGTCTCTTCGTGTTCCTGCGAAATCTCCTCGACGTGAACCGCAGCTGTCGCATCTTCTACGTCCTAGGCAACCACGAAGCTTACCAGACGACCCTCGAAGATGCCATCGAGAAGATGCGAGAATTCGAGGACATGGCAAGACAAGAATACGCTGGTCGCTTCAGCTTCCTCTTCCGCGACCGGTGTGATCTCAATGAGCAAGTGACAGTACTGGGCTGCACACTCTGGAGTAGCATTCAGCCCGATCAAGCTGCAGAAGTTCGTTCTAGAATGAAAGACTACAACCAAGAACGCGGCATACAAGACTGGACGCCTGAAAGAAGTTGCACAGAACATACCCGCGATGTAGAGTGGCTGAACGAGCAAGTCAGCCACATCCAAGCGACTGAACAGCATAGGAGCATAATCATTGCGACACACCACTGTCCTACAACTGATCCTCGCGCGACTGACCCAAAGCACGCTTCTAGCTCCATGAGTTCTGGTTTCTGCTCCGATTTGTCAATGGAACTATGTTGGACGAGCCCGGCGGTCAAGGTGTGGGCTTTTGGACATACGCATTATAGTTGTGCGTTCAGGAACCATGTCACGGATACGTTGGTCGTATCGAATCAGAAAGATAATGGTGGTATTGTGGGGAGTGGCGAGAGTGCAAAGAGAATGAAGACGGTAGCAGTAGAGCAAACGGGGGATAGGTGGCAGGTTGTGGAGTACGTGCAGGCACTAGGGAAGCCAAGATGGGAAATGCATGAAGTAACAGAGTGATGCATGATGACGATGACTTCATAAATTGAAGGAACGTAGAGAAGGCCTATTAGATTGTTACGACAAATCACTGGAGCACTTGCTTCGTGAAGCAATGAAGCGAGTCAAATCTGATTTCAAAAACGCGTATTCAACGTGGCAGGTATAAGAAAGCTTTCAAAAAGTAAAACTCAGTTTACAGGGTATCTATACGGAAATCTCCATCACCCCAGAACGCCCTTCATTTCATCCCATTTCTACCACTATCCCCTTACTTCCTGAACAAATTCGTCGCACTCCCCATCAGCGGATTAGGCTGAAACTCCATGTCATTCCCACCCACAAACAGCGGCACAGTATCATCATCGACCCTACTCTTCGGCTTCAGCTCCTCCCCCCTCGCAATCTCAATCGTACTAATCACCGGCAGCGCCAACAGCAACAATGGCAGCAGTTGACCAAAACTCCAGTTGCCTTCTGACGGACCAACCAAATGCACAGATTTCGGCGGTGTACCAAAAGCCTGAGATTCCAAGACGACGCGAATCGTAGCGCCGACGCCCATGGCGAGACAGGCAAAGAGGCCGATGACTTGGACAGTCTTGAGCCACTTTGGGTTTGAGCGGTTGTGCAAGTACCAAGTTGCGAAGCCAAAAGTGAGGACTTGGCCGGCGATTACGGCAATAGTGCCTGCGATTGAGAGGGCGGCGTTGGAGCTTGTGCCTTTGCTTTCCACTTGCCACACACAGGCAATCGGCAGCCTGGGTTCCATGTTCTTCATTACAGTTTGCAGGATAAAGATGCCAGATAATATCCCCAGGAACATGTTGATGAGCATCAGAAGCTGCCTGATCCATCGGAGTACCCAGTCTCTCTTGAAGTCGTTTACCAGAGCGAGTAAAGTGGCGAGGTTCGTAGCGGTGGATAGCAGCGAGAGGAGCCAGATGATGAAGAAGTGGTATGGCACCATGGTTTTCATCTTTGCGAGGCCGACGGATTGGATGCCGATTCCGGTTAGGATTTGCTGGTCGGAGAAGGATTGGAGGAGTTTGCGGGATATGGGCGCGGAAGTGGATTTGCGGAGGCCGAGGAGGATTATGGCGGCTGAGAGGAGGATGGAGAGCATGTTTGTTATTATAAAGGATAGAAGCGTCTGTGAGGTTTGGGGTCAGTAGGAGGACCTTTGTAGGTTGCGCGCATGGGTTCAAAGTCGAGACGTACGCCTGCGCCTGCTACTCCAGCATCTGTGTTTGTCGTCTCGGGGACGGTAGAGCAATTGAACGTCATGGTTCCTGTTCTTGCCTCTTACTTCTCTTCGGTATCGTGTCTACAAAGAGCGTGGTCGCGTCAGGCCAGCATGCGCGGAATCGTCGGAATTGTGCTATAGTGTCGCAGACTGAAATCGCAGAATCGCAGATACGCGCGCAAACAGACGGACGTTAAAGAAAGAGTGGCGCTAGACAGCTACAAGTAGAATTGTGAAAGTGAATGTCAAGGTAGAATCAAGACGGCTTGCACAGCCTCAAGCCGATGTCATCATCAACCGCCAGGGTCTCGCATCCCTCGCATCTAATTTAAGGCATGTTGGCGAGCGCTCAACGGCATTCGCAGCCCAGGGGTAAAGATCGACGCGTGAAACAAGGCGGCAATGCTGGCCAATGGACGATCTTTGCCCGTTGACATCTGTGGCGCAGCGCTTAATCTGCGACAGATGCTGGGCCAGTTAGAGATGCGGGGTAGGCAATCTTCATGGATAGACGATGATGTTGTGTTATGCGTAGAAGGGGATTTGGAGCGGTGGTGAAGGAGAAGTGGGGTACTTGAGGTGAGGGCGCTTGCGCAGGGGAATGGGCGGGCGTGCAGGAAGGGTCCTCGACGGCTTGTCTCTTAGCGCGCAGCCGGATGGTAGCGGCCGGGCTTAAGGGCAATCTTCATTTGTTGTCAGTCCATCACTTCACCTACAACAGTCCGTCAAGTCTCATAGTACAGCAGTCCAAAATCTCTATTTGCCACAAGTACGAGCAAGTAATTCTCTCAAAGGTCTAGCTGTACCTGTAGTACCACCTTATGCTTCTCCCATCTCATTGTCTGAGGGTATGGGAGCTGGCTTGTTCGTCGGTGCATAGGCGCTCTTCTCCCTAATCTTCGCACCTTGTAAGTAAAACCAAACCGGCACAGGAACCATTGCAGCAGCAACACATCCAAGCAACGTAGCAGCCCATTCAATACCCATGCCCTCGAACATCTGTCGCGCGAAGAGAGGGAACGCAGCTCCACAAAGACTACGAAGGAACGTGTTTGCAGCAATCGCCGAGGCGGCAAACTAGACCGTGCATTAGCATGCGCAAGGATGTGTGAAGGACGGTCTTTTCTTACCATGAGGTAGGCGTCGATGAGGTAGTTGAACGCCTGCAGGAAAATACTCATGATGCCAAACCCGATCAATAGCCCAGAAAGCGTAGGCACAATCCAATGGATATCCGCCTTATAACCTGTCCATCCGAACCAGAATATTCCTCCCGCGAAACAAACTCCGCCAGCAATAACCTCTGGTAACCGCCATTCTGGAATGGGAACGTTATTATTTGCAGCGAGTTTCTTCTGGTACCCCGGTTGTCGAACAAAGACAAGAGTGCCAGCCAACAGCTCTCCTATAATCGCGCCGAAGAATGGCAGACCACCTACACCGGGGTTCATCCTGTGGACGCCCTGGAAGACTAATGGATATGCTGTGAGAAAGAGATATAGCAGTCCGTAAATGAATGCCATGTATACACTCAGCAGCAGCACGATGCGCTCCGTGACCAGCATCCTGAGGGGTCTAGAAAAGTTCTTTTCAAGCAGCTCGCGGAAGTCGATTTCTATCTCTTCCTGCTTGGCGTGGATACCCCAGTTTTTGGTGCGTCGGCGAAGTTCTTCGGCTTTGGCGACGAGGATCATGGGTGGGTACGATTCGGATAAGAAGAGGAGGTTGAGGGTGAAGGCTGCGAAGCCCATGAAGGAGCTGGACTGTATATCAGCAGATGTATGGTGTATAGTTTGTAGGGACAGCAGAAGTGCTTACACGAGGTATTGAGTCCACCGCCAACCGAGATCAGGGTCCATGACTATGAAGCCACCGATAAAAGGCGCAAGGAAGGGACCACTAAAGACCATGACACTAAACACAGTAATCGCCATCCCTCTTGTCCTGTTTCCAAACATGTCGGAAAACACTGCAGCAACACACTAAACCTCATGTCAGTGCCTACGCTCAATCGTAAGGGGAAGCCAAATGCTACTCACAGTAATCGGACAAGCCCCAAAGAACCCTGAGAAGAACCGACAAATCAACACAGTCTGCAAATCTTTGCCCGTCGCACACGCAATCTCAAACACAGAAAACCCAAAGCTCGCTATAACAAGCGGCAGCCTCCTCCCTTTCAACTCTGAAAACGGCGCCCATAGGATCGGTCCCGTCGCGAACCCCAACACATACAACGACGTCCCCAGCGTCGCAACCACAGATCCCACAGCGAACTTTTCCGAGATTTGCCTCGTCGCTGTACTGAATATCGAGCTGGCAAATGCAGCCGTCATGGTCGTGAAGCCCAACATGGCAGCTGTAAAGATCTTCTTCCTAACAGCCCAATTCTGGGCGTGCAAGGGGTCGTCGGGTCCATCGAATTCTACGACGTAGTCTTCTTGTGAGCCTAAGGGGGGTGGGTAGGGTTTTCCGGCTCCGAAGGCGGGTAAAGGGCGGGAGCGAGAGGATCTGCTGCGGAAGATGGAACCCACGGTGTGGGAGTGTTGGCTTCGTTGTGTGTGGATGCGACTCAAGGTTGACGTGTGGTGGTGGAGGTTATCGGTATCGGAGGGCTGCTCGGGAGGTGGTCTGGGTTTCGCGTCTGAGGTATCCGGTGTTGTATTCGAGCCGGTTGCTGTACTTGACGAGGTACCAGTACGTGTAATATTACCCTCTTTTTCTTCGTCTAGCTCTGGTATAGGCGTATGTGTTTGTAGAAAGCGGTGTTGGCTAGCATATTGTTCACCCTTCTCCACATAATGGTCTTGATCATCCATGGTAATGGTAACTTTGAGTCTGATGCGATAGGATATGTCTCGAGCATTTGAGGCGTATATTATACATTATGCTTGCTTCATATGCTCAAGCATATGGATCACAGAGGCATGAAAGTCCGACCCTCCGCACCGTTATCCCACTGAAGCCGGTGTTCGCCTTCAACGGATCGGATACTTTATAATACACCGAACTGCCGGTGAAGTATACTCGCGAGAAGGAAAGCGCGAGTTTTGCTTAAGACATCGAAAGTGACTTCTGTATCGTATACTGTTCATAACAGTTTTCTTCCTTGTACACCACAACTCTGAGATACTGGCAATGCTACATGTGGCATTCAAGCTGTCTCCAGTGTTTGATGTTGTTCGGTGTCCAGTGTCCAGCCGTCGGGCGTTTTGGGATGCCGAAGGAGCGAAGCCGCGTCGACCATAAGTAGCTACCAACTTCTTTCGGCAATAAACTGCCACGTTCGGCCCTGTCTTTCGTACAACAGAGCGATGACGCCAGAATCGAAGGAATGTACGCTACTGATGACAGACAGCAGGGCTACATATGCCGAGGCTTATTTGCAACAGATGCACGACGTGGTGAGTCGGAGCTCACATTGTCAGCAAGAGCAGCATTGTCGCCTTCGGGTCTTACTAGTATGTGGACGATATCTGCGGCTGATCTTTTAACTTCCTGTTGAGTATACAAGGAAGCAGAGTTAGCACCTATGCTTTCCACTGTACAGAGGGCCATAAGGGTGGATAAGTATTAGTGTCGTCGGTGGAGGCTGAGTTCACTCTGGCTAGGCATCCATGGATTTCTTGTGGCTGAACAAGATGCATTTACCCCGCAGGCGTCAGCATCTCCAAACCTCCAAACTGACATCCTTCAAGAGTATCCAGTGCGAAAACAGAGATACTAGGTTCGTAAAAATACTTCAGTCCCTTTTCGGTTACTGATCTAGTTTTAGTCACATCTTGTCGCCTCTATCCTAGTGCGCATCAATGTATGCACGTTATCCATCAGCCTTGAACCTTCAAAAAGACCAGCAGTAGTTCAAGATGACACAAGCTGTGTCCGAATGGCTCGCTCTTGACGTAAAAGATATCGACGAGAAGAAGCTACTGCCAGGTTTTATTGGAAAAGATGGCGTGCAACCGCATCTTCCAACACAAATGGTGAAGATACCGTTCGACAATCCTGATCAAGTTGCTGTGGTCTCGTGGCGCTGGGACGGAGATCTACGAACCAAGGGCTCCTGGAACATTGCGAGTGTTGTAAACGTCGCAAAGCGGCGAGGTATTCGATATCTGTTTATCGACACCATCTCCATCGACCAAACATTGCCTGTCGACGACCTCATCGAACAAGTTGTAGCGTTCTCGACACTGTACACGAAGATTACGGTCCTCGCTGCCTACGATAAGACTGGAGATGACTGGAGACATATGAAATCCACTGTTCTACGTCCGTGGATTCTGAACGAGATCCGCCTTTTCCGGCAGAATTCCGGCACAATCATCTACGCAGGACATGCTCGCCAGGGTTGTATGCATGCTGGACAGATTGGAGAGGGAGGTATTGGAGTAAGGTTGGCTGCGTATGGTGTCTCACACAAGGACTCCTACTTCAAACTCTTGCTCGAGACCATCTGGTGTACTAGCTTCATTGAATCCATCATTGGTGTACTACTTGAGGATGTTGGGATGTCTTCCACCTTGGACTTCAAATACATCATACATGCTTACTCACACATTCTTTCTGTTGCGTACGAACAGATGGAACGCAATGACTACCTTCTAACGACGGCGATCCTCTGCCATGCTCTTCGGAAAGATGACTTGGCGGAAAAAGGCTTCAGGATCAAGAGAAACATTGAGAAGCTTCGCTACTGTCGTTACAGTTTTACCGCAGTCTCAGATGGTTCAAATGGAGTATGGGAATACTATAAGATCTTTCTAGATGGGACAAAAGTTGCTCTATGGCGTGCTCACAGATATGATCAAAGATTGCACTCCCAAAAGCTTGACAAGCTTCCCAGTACTGACCGCGTCATCTTCGCAGCATTGGGTCTTACGGCCTCAGAATACAATGATTTTGTAGGAGCAGAAGAAGCAAGGCGCGAGTGTCTGCTGATGGACAATGGGAAGAAGATGCCACCACCTGCATTGGAAGTTGTTGAGGTTGACCTTTCACTCGACGCACCTACGGTTTGACGCTATAGGGGAAGGATAGCATGCTCAGAAAAAGCGGACGGTTTGCGGCGGTATGGGAGAGGTAGTAGTAGCAATAGTGCCCACTCATTTGTAAGGTTGTACTTTATCAAAACAGCACATATCATAAGCTTGTACTGTACATACTTACCTTGCGCAGTAGTCCAAAATGCGCATGGTCGTCATGATCAACCTCGCAACCTTTACACTTCTTAGTTGTCTACTCTCATACACGTGGTAGAAGGTCGGGAGTACGTGTGCTGCAGCGTTAAATCTACGCTTGCAGTCAAGAGCTTCCACAGCGAGCATGGGTCAGCCTTCGGTCGTACGGAGGCGCAAATAGCACACAAGTTCATCACAGAAGCAGACTCTGGCATTGTTCGCTGAGGTCAAAGACCGAACTCAGCCATTGCTCGACAGAGGCACAAAGTGTGGTGAAGCGTGACATGATCGGTCACCCACCCACGACGTCAATATCCCTGTTACGCGATTGATCAAGTCACAAGTGCATAAGTGGCAAAATGTGTTGTTGATCCCACAGTGGGAAGTTGGTATCTCTACCATGTCGTGATTTTGGTATTCGTCTAGCAACTGCTCATAAAGACGTTATAACCGTCCGTCATGATCATGCATAGTCTTCGTCAAAAGGTCATAACAACGCGCGCGCCAACAGCAAGTTGTCTACAACTTCTGCATAGCGACAACGTCGGTGGACTGGACGTGGTCCTCGAACTCTTCGATCTGTTGCTGGAGCTCGTCCAGCGAGACCTTGTCGTCCTCGACGACCAAGTTGATCTGGAGCTTCTTGATACCGAAACCGACAGCGACCAACTTGGAGGCACCCCAGACGAGACCGTCCTTCTCGATGGAGAGAACGTTCGCCTTGAGCTCGTCCATGTTTGTCTCGTCATCTGGAAGCTGTTAGTACACAGGTAGGATAAAGCAGAGCCAAAGAACATACCCCATGGCTTGACGTCAAGGGTGACGATGGACTTGGCAGCAGGCTTGACCTTGCCGGCCTTCTTCTTGTTGTACTCAGCAAGGCGCTCCTCCTTGATGCGGGCAGCCTCAGCGTCCTCCTCCTCGTCGTCGGAGCCGAACAGGTCGACCTCGTCGTCGTCGTCCTCAGCCTCCTTCTCAGGGGCCTTGGCGGGGTTGAGGGTGAGCTCGGAGGACTCGGGGCCGTAGGCAGTGAAGTCCTTGGTTGGGTCACCGGGGAGGGAGTCGAACTCGGCCTCGAAGGTGAGCATGTGGTTGTACCACCTCCATGCGTATGGGTACTTCTCGGGAGCAGGGATCTGCTTGATCTGCTGGTAGACCTTTACATCGGCCTGCGATGGGGAGTAGCTGGGGCATGTTAGCTGATGACTCCTCCATGGTGTCTGGATAAGATGCAGCAGAAACAAGGGATAGATCAGAGTTGCGACAAGCGCGTGGTTTTGTATTCAGATAGCGGGGTCTTAAGCCGCCTCATTAACACGGACCAATTGTTCTCATCATGAAAGGGTGGGAGTGCGACGCGATGCAGTGGGAAAATACAAGGCGGGACGAAATGCGAGGCGGGGTAGGAACTTACCCAACGATGTAGCTGCGGGTCCTGACATAGTTGTTCAGGAGAGTCAGGCCTGCTTCGGAGACGAGATCGGTGAAACCCATATTTGCAGTTGTGTGGTTGCGAGTATGGAATGGAGGAATCGAAGTTGTTGTGTCGAGAAAAAGAGGGACGACCGCAGTTTTTGATGGAGGAAATTGCGCTGAGAAAAACACGCTAGCCTTGGCGCTAGCACGTGCCCCTCCCTGCCCGCGACAATGACAGCGACGAAGACACAGTGCCAGCCACAGTCATTTACCTTTATGCATCTGGACCTCGCATGCATACGAGTCGGTCCCACCTGTTCTCCTCGGCTTTTGCCTGCATTGGCTGTGGATGTTGAAGCCTGAAATGTGTGCTCATAGACGCGTAGAAAGCTGTCGAACCACCGCGCATCTTCGCCGAAGCCTGTGCTCGCCCCATCAGTCACGAATATAATGATGCCACTTCCGTCTTCCTCAATCTGACTCTTGCTCGTTTTCTGACTCCGACATCGTCATGCTGACCAGTAGAGCACGCATAGCCGCGAGGCGCATCGCCTCACCCTCCATCCCACGATCACTTCCCATTCGTACATCGCCGTTATGTCTCAACGCATGCGCATCACGATTGCCTCAGCAACAAAAGCTCCTAAGACCGCTTGTTTCGTCGAGGACATATGCAAGTGGAGGCCGACCGCAACCTCCAGGTGGAACGCATCGCATGAACCTGGGTGGTGAGCCGGAAAAGCCCGCTTTGGAACAATATGGTGTAGATCTTACGGAGCGAGCGCGTGATGGCAAACTAGATCCAGTCATCGGACGAGACGGCGAAATCCAACGTACCATCCAAATTCTGTCGAGACGAACAAAGAATAATCCTGTCTTGATAGGTTCCGCAGGAACAGGAAAGACGGCGATTCTTGAAGGTCTAGCACAGCGCATCGTAAAAGGTGACGTACCCGAATCGATCAAAGACAAGCGCGTCATCTCCCTCGACCTCGGATCCCTTATTGCTGGCGCGAAATTCCGGGGAGATTTCGAGGAGCGACTCAAGAGCGTCTTGAAGGAAGTCGAGGAGGCCAACAAGGGTGTCATACTATTTGTGGATGAGTTGCACACATTGCTAGGCTTGGGTAAAGCGGAGGGTAGCATTGATGCTAGTAACCTTCTGAAGCCTGCGCTTAGCCGTGGAGAGCTACAACTCTGTGGAGCGACAACACTCAACGAAT